GTGGAGGAGTTGCCGATGGAGTTTTGGAGGAAGTCTCGCACGAAATGCGTTTTTGAGAGATAGCAGATGCACGAAAGCCTATAGTTTTTCCATACAAAGTCCGTTTCGAACTTCGATGATCTACCTCTGCGGTGCGACGGTTGCGAGACGGTCTCGTGTGTGGTCGGATCATGGTCGGATATGCTCGGATCATTCTCGGATCGGTTCCGCATTGTAAATGGAGTGTCACCTGTGTTTCGTGCATTTGTTGTCGACAGAATTCCATTGTGATTTGCAACTGTAGGATCGTTCCCGCATTGTAAATGGGGTTGCAAGTGGTGCTGGTAGATGAGTTGCTGATGGAATTCCATTGTGATTTGCAACTCTAGGATCGTTCCCTCACTGTAAATGGGATTGCAAGTGTTGCTTCCTCTTTTGGCTGCATGCGTAATACTATTGTCTTTTGCAGCTGGACTTCGTAAATCGTAGTGGAGTGGCTGCATGAAGGCTGCGACAATGATTTGTCAACAATTTTTCTCCATTTTAGCGCCAGTAATTTTCTTTTTAAAAATCCTTTTCAAAAATGCTTCAAAATCGTCTTTTTTTCGCTCTGGCGTCGAGATCCGGTTTTGGAGCTGCAATTTCCGACCCAGTTACGCGTAGTTTTATTGTGTTTTGCAACTCTGTCTCTGCAGATCGCATAGTAATGGCTGCGTCAAGGTTGCTTCTTGCCACGGCTGCATGCGTAATACTATTGTCTTTTGCAGCTGGACTTCGTAAATCGTATTGGAGTGTCTGCATGAAGGCTGCGACAGTGATTTGTCAACAGATTTTCTCCATTTTGGCGCCAGTGATTTTCTTTTTAAAAATCCTTTTCAAAAGTGCTTCAAAATCGTCTTTTTTTCGCTTTGGCGTCGAGATCCGGTTTTGGAGCTGCAATTTCCGACCCAGTTGCGCGTAGTTCTATTGTGTTTTGCAACTCAGTCTCTGCAGATCGCATTGTAATGGCTGCGTCAAGGTTGCTTGGTGCCGCGGCTGCATGCGCAATACTATTGTCTTTTGCAACTGGACTTCGTAAATCGTATTGGAGTGGCTGCATGAAGGCTGCGACGGTGATTTGTCAGCAGATTTTCTCCATTTTGGGGCTAGTGATTTTCCTGCTAAAAATCCTTTTAAAAAGTGCTTCAAAATCGTCTTTTTTTCGCTCTGGCGTCGAGATCCGGTTTTGGAGCTGCAATTTCCGACCCAGTTGCGAGTAGTTCTATTGTGTTTTGCAACTCAGTCTCTGCAGATCGCATAGTAATGGCTGCGTCAAGGTTGCTTCTTGCCACGGCTGCATGCGTAATACTATTGTTTTTTGCAGCTGGACTTCGTAAATCGTATTGGAGTGGCTGCATGAAGGCTGCGACAATGATTTGTCACCAGATTTTCTCCATTTTGGCGCCAGTGATTTTCTTTTAAAAAATCCTTTTAAAAAGTGCTTCAAAACCGTCTTTTTTTTTCGCTTTGGCGTCGAGATCCGGTTTTAGAGCTGCAATTTCCGACCCAGTTACGCGTATTTCTATTGTGTTTCGCAACTCAGTCTCTGCAGATCGCATTGTGATGGTTGCGTCAAGGTTGCTTGGTGCCGCGGCTGCATGCGCAATACTATTGTCTTTTGCAGCTGGACTTCGTAAATCGTATTGGAGTGGGTGCATCAAGGGTTCGACAGTGATTAGTAGTAGTGCTAGGAATTGATTAATGAAAGCTTAATAGATGACATATGAGAAGGGACGAGATGAGAAGAGATGAGCTGGGATAAGGTGAGAAGAGCTCAGATGAGATGAACTGTGGAGTGTGAAGAGTGCAGTGTGAAGTGTGGGGCGTGAAGAGTGCAGTGTGAAGTGTGAAGTGTGAAATTTGGAGTGTGAAGGAAGCAGTGAGAAGTGAAAGTGTGAAGTGTGGACTGTGAAGTGTGGAGTGTGAAGTTTGGAGTGCAAAGAGTGCAGTGTGAAGTGTGGAGTGTGAAGAGTGCAGTGTGAAGTGTACAGTGTGAAGGAAGCAGTGGGAAGTGAGAAGTGTGAAGTGTAGAGTGTGAAGTTTAAGTTTGGAGTGCGAAGAGTGAGTGTGAAGTGTGAAGTGTGAGGTTTGGAGTGTGAAGGCAGCAGTGAGAAGTGAGAAGTGTGAAGTGTGGACTGTGAAGTGTGGAGTGTGAAGTGCGAAGTGAGAAGTGTGAAGTTTGGAGTGTGAAGGAAGCAGTGAGAAGTGTGAAGTGTGGACTGTGAAGTGTGAAGTGCGAAGTGAGAAGTGTGAAGTTTGGAGTGTGAAGGAAGCAGTGAGAAGTGTGAAGTGTGGACTGTGAAGTGTGAAGTACGAAGTGTGAAGTTTGGAGTGTGAAGGAAGCAGTGAGAAGTGAGAAGTGTGGAGTGTGAAGTGTGGACTGTGAAATGTGGACTGTGAAGTGTGGAGTGTGAAGTGCGAAGTGAGAAGAAAGCAGTGGGAAGTGAGAAGTGTGAACTGTGAAGTGTGAAGTGTGGAGTGTGAAGTGTGGAGTGTGAAGTTTAAGTTTGGAGTGCGAAGAGCGCAGTGTGAAGTGTGAAGTGTGAGGTTTGGAGTGTGAAGGCAGCAGCGAGAAGTGTGAAGTGTGGAGTGCGAAGTGTGGAGTGTGAAGTGTGAAGTTTCGAGTGCGAAGAGTGCAGTGTGAAGTGTGGAGTGCGAAGTGTGAAGACTTTGCTTCGTCTCTCGCTGAAAAAAAAAGCCGCTTGTCGAGGGAAGGACACGGTCGGGACAGGCTGGCGTCGACATATAGGTCATTTATGTTTGGGAAACTTCCGCGGCCGGCTTGCCCGGGTCTATGTTAGACTGTGATTCATTTGGATCCTCTTGGATCCTTTTGGGTCAAGCTGAAAACATTTGGCTCGTGTCATTGTTTTTCCTAATCTGGAGTTCTTTGGGCTGTGGTTTTCCATTTAGTAGAGGGAGGCTAGTCAAAAGACTTGTCATATCCATTCGTATCCTTTCCTTTGAATTTCCTTGATTTTCATTGGGTTTCTGTTTCTCCATAGCCTGTGCTGCCTTTGGCTTGGCAGGGGGAAGTTGTTCCACCTGCTGCTAGCAAAGAAAAAGGAAAGGGAAATCAGAAAGACAAGGAGGCAGGGTGGATGCAGCCCCGCCTGGGGGGCTGTTATAAGAGTGGAAAGGATTACCGACCCCCCATCACTACAGAATGGTTTTGCATAGCCTTTTGTGGTTGGGTTGTTTTTTTGCTTTTTGGGGGGCGATGCCGAATCCCTCGCTTGGGTGCTTCTTGCTCTATGAGTTCCAAATCACCCACTGTTCTTGGGTTCAAATCACCCACTGACATGCGTGCAGCATCTATTATCATTTACTATCTAGATTGACGTGATTCATCCTGATGGACATGGTTTGGCCAAAGAGCTATCTGGGGCAACGGAATGGGAATCTCTACTAAATGGTTTTTCAATTTTGTCTCATGTCATTGTGACCGTTTTATAAACTCTACTTCGCAACCTCTACAAAATGGTTCCTGTGATTTTGAAACATTTTTTTGACATCTCTACTAAATGGTTTTATCCAAAAAACAACATTTGACATTATATGATTAACATATCATTTTTACCTCTCTACTAAATGTGGATCATGGGCCTAGAGATGTTTACTTGATTTTTTTGAAAAACATAATTCCCTACTAAAGGGTTTCTAAAAAAAATCACACTAAATTTTTGGTTCACTTTCCGGGACCTAGGTCATAGCATTTAGTAGTGGAAATTGACAGGAGGATTGTTAAATATCTTACATGCTCTTGTGCTGTAATTTGTCCTTTTCCCTCCGCACATGCTAGATCACTAACCCCTCGCTGCTGCTGCTGCTACTAAACTCAATTTATTTTTATCCTAATATTCTTCCTTTCCAGCGGGGTTTCAATCAACCATTTCTTGGTCTCAACACCTTGCCCTGAAAAAAACATCTTGCCAAGGCGCTAAGCCTGATGTCTTTCTTACTCTTTCTTGTTTTAAAGTTTGATTTCCCACATAATTTGATATTATATACTACATCTCTCTGCTCCAACTGGGTGCCGCTGAAAAGGCACCGTCCAGAATAAGGACGTCAAGTGAGACATCATAATATCGTAGGAACAATATCTCTCCACTTCGTGGAATGTCATCTAGTCCACAAAGTGGAGAGCTCTTCCTAGAAGAGCTCTCCATCAGCACTTCAAAATATTCAAAACCAGTACCAAATATACCTAGCTTCGGTCATCCCACCCAATTTGCACATGAGCAACCAATGCTACTGGAAAGGGAAGGTGGAGAGCTCTTCTAAGAAGAGCTCTCCGCTTTGCAACCGACAGCAGACATCCCAAAGTGGAGAGGGATTGGTCAACCGGGGCCAAAATCAAATTTGACACGGGGTAGGCGTGGAGAGCTCTTCAAGGAAGAGCTCGCCGCCCCCCAAAAAGAATTTCTCGCCGCCCTCCAAACAACCGGAATACCTCGCCGCCCCATTCTCAGAAAAAAAGAAGCTAACTGATGGCAGCCAAGGCTCCCTAATAGTCACTTGCGGAAAGTTCGCAATTTCGCAAGAGTATTATATTCCCTGACTACTGGAAGTCTAGCATTCTCTTGGCCTTTTGGAACAATTGTCATTAAAGTCCAAATGCGCAAAAGATTCCGCACTGCTGCTGCAACTCCCGGCAAAAACTCAAAACACAAAAACTGTGACCACGAATCACCCTAAAGACTTCTCGCCATCGATCAGAATTACAGATTCACACACTCGTGGTGGCACTACTTCCATGTTGGTTTTCAACAAAAAACATATCCTGCGCCAACCCATATCGAAAAAACAGTCGAAAACACTAACTTTTGTGAAAATCCCATGTATATATTTTTTTTTTAATAACACATTGATTTAAATAAAATTTAAAAAATAAAGTATATAAACTCACACACACATATATATATATATATAAAGGGCACATTATAAATTATAATTTATATCTAAATATTTATATGTTTTTATTTTAAATCAATATTTTTCGTACGCAATTCTTCTAGCCTGTTTGTGAAAGGGTAGACCACCGATATTTTCTGTATATCACGTACGAATATCCTGGAAGGTTCTATATAAAAATATTTCGACTAAAATTACGAATTCTTCATGGTCTTGTCATACAAATAAATTCTGCATATCCAATAATAAATCATTTCCATCCATCACCATTTTTATGAGTAAAACATATCCCAAAATGGTGGGTGCATGGCATTCGCTTCCCGCCTCTGGAGTCTTTGCGTGGTCTGCTGGTCCAAAGTGAACTGAGCAGCACTGGGTCCCATTCTATGGCTTAAAGAGTAAGGGTCTCTGTAAAAAGAACAATTGAAAACTATCATCTGCCAGAAACAAGCAATCTGAACTGTCCACTCAGATTTGGAAACATATGTTCCTTCGTGGTGCTGCCAAAACCCGTGTCCCATGTAAACATAGGCCTTTTTCTCTTTATCCCTAGTCGACAAAAGTGTATATCAATTATATCAATCGATCAATATATCATACCAGTAGTACCGCACAAGGCGGTGGCGGAAGTTTCAAAAATAGGAAACCTATAGGAGAGATTGGCTGTTGTGCTTCAGGATGATCTGTCTATCTGTCTAGCTGTCTACCTGTCTATCTATCTATCTGTCTATCTGTCTACCTGTCTATCTGTGGTGCAGTGTCATTCAGTGTAATGTAGTGTAGTGTAATGTAGTGTAGTGTAATGTAGTGTAGTGTAATTTCGTGTAGTGGAGTGTAGTTGCGTAGTCGTAGTTGTAGTTGTAGTTGTAGTGTAGTGGAGTGTAGTGTAGTGTAATGTAGTGAAGTGTAGTGGAAGGTAGTGTAGTGTAATGTAGTGTAGTGTAGTGGAGTGTAGTGTAGTGTAATGTAGTGTAGTGTAATTTAGTGTAGTGGAGTGTAGTGGAGTGTATTGTAGTGGAGTGTAGTGTAGTTGTAGTTGTAGTTGTAGTGTAGTGGAGTGTAGTGTAATGTAGTGAAGTGTAGTGGAAGGTAGTGCAGTGTAGTGTAATGTAGTGTAGTGGAGTGTAGTGTAGTGTAATGTAGTGTAGTGTAATTTAGTGTAGTGGAGTGTAGTGGAGTGTAGTTGTGTAGTTGTAGTTGTAGTGTCGTGTAATGTAGTGTAGTGTAGTGGAGCGTAGTGTAGTGGAGTGTAGTGTAATGTAGTGTAGTGTAGTGAAGCGAAGCGACATCTGAACCTCCAAAAGTGGTCCGAACCCCTGATGCTTTTAACATTTTGACTTCGAAATGTGCTTCGCGCCACAACCGCGTGCACTTTTTCGACATCTGAACCTCCAAAAGTGGCGCGAACATGTAGTGTTTTGTACATTTTGACTTCGAAATGTGCTTCGCGCCACAACACCGTGCACTTTTTCGGCATCTCAACTTCCAAAAGTGGTCCGAACCCCTGGTGTTTTTAACATTTTGACTTGGAAATGTCCTTCGCGCCACAACGGCGTGCACTTTTTCGACATCCGAACCTCCAAAAGTGGCGCGAACATGTAGTGTTTTGTACATTTTACTTTTTCGGCATCTCAACTTCCAAAAGTGGTCCGAACCCCTGGTGTTTTTAACATTTTGACTTGGAAATGTCCTTCGCGCCACAACGGCGTGCACTTTTTCGACATCCGAACCTCCAAAAGTGGCGCGAACATGTGGTGTTTTGTACATTTTGACTTGGAAATGTGCTTCGCGCCACAACGGCGTGCACTTTTTCGGCATCTCAACTTCCAAAATTGGTCCGGACCTGGTGTGTTTTGTACATTTTGACTTGGAAATGTGCTTCGCGCCACAACGGCATGCACTTTTTCAACATCTCAACTTCCAAAAGTGGTCCGAACCCCCTCAGTTTTGAACACATTTTACTTCCAAATGTGCTTCGCGCCACAATGTCGTGCAACTTTTCATCTCTCATCTCCCCAGATGTCTCCGCACCCGCTTTTTAAGCGAGCCTACTTTTCAACCCTCCGGAGCCACAAAACCACGAAAAAACACAGTGTTTCGCGACTTTCCTACCTTTTCGCGCACCTGCATCTTCTGATCTTTTCTCTTCTGACTCTTCTCCCTGCTGACTGCTTTTTCATCTCTCCATATTGTCGGAAGTTTGACTTCCAAACTTCCTTCGATTATCAATATTATCAATATCAATTTACATATTTATAAATATAAATATATATAAATATATATGTATACATACATACATATCTTCCAAAACAATACAGCACATGTTGAAAAGGGGTGCCAAGTGAAATTCCGAAAGCAAGTTTTCCGGGGGGAAGCATTTGCCAAACATTCGATCTGGGCCCTAGAAGAACATCACCGCCAATCCAGGCATTTCATGTGGGTTGCTTGTTGGAGGCAAGATTGTGCGACACCTCAGCCGCTGACATCAGTGGATTGGGAACATGCTTATCTATTTCATGCCCTGCCCGTGCAAACCTCAGATTCAAAAAAGGTGCTGTGTGGCCGCCATCACTTTGAGGGTGGACACTTTAGGACATCCTGTAATTTCGTGAGCAAAAAAAACAATACATAGAAGTATACTATAGAAATATAAAAACTATAAATATATAGATGCATCAATATATAAATGTATATCTATGTATAGATACGTAGATAGATTAAATTAGATTAGAGTAGGTTAGATTAAATTCGATTAGGTTAACATTAGATTTAGGTTTCCATTAGCTGAGGAATAGATTTAGATTAGACTAGACTGGAGTAGAGTAAATTGGATTAGACTAGATTAGATTACATTAGATTAGGTTCGAATAGATAAATTAGATAGATTGGATAGATAGATTGGATAGATAAGATGAAAGGATAGATAAAATAGAAAGTATAGGTTAGATAGATTAGATTAGTTAGATAAGATAGATAAGATAGATGAGATAGACAACATAGACAAACTATATAGATAAGATATATAAGGTAGATAACATAGATAACATAGATAAAATAGATAAGACAAATGAAATAGATAAGATAGGCAATATAGAGAGAAGATAGATAGGATAGATAGGATAGATAGGATAGATAGGATTCATAGGATACATAGGATAGGATAGGACAGGATAGGATAGGATAGATAGCTAACTAGACAAACAGATAGATAGAGAGATACACAGATGGACAGATAGACAAACAAACAAACAAACACACAAACAAACAAACAAGCAAGCAAACAAACAAGCAAGCAAGCAAACAAACCAAAACAAAACCAAAACAAAACCAAACAAACAAACAAACAAACCAAAACAAACAAACCAAATCAAAACCAAACAAACAAACACACAAACAAACACATAGATAGATGGATAGATGGATGGGTGAAGAGATAGGTCGATAGGTAGATAAGTAGATAAGTAGGTAGATGAATAGACAAATAAACTGGTATTAAAAAACGACTGTGATATAGATAAATACAAAGTTGGGTAGATAGATCCACTAGATAGATTAGATGGATTAGATCCGTTGGATGCATTAGATTGATAAGACATCACAAGACAAGATAAAATAATATCAGATACGACAATTCATATGTTAAGAAAGAAAAGCCCATATAAGATAAGCACAGATTTAATTGGATTTAATCCGATTAGATAGATAGATATGTAGTTGGATGAATATATCATATCTGGACCTGAATTAAGGCCACCGATGGGGGTGATTTCCCAAAAAACCATGATTCCAGGCTTCGGGAGAACAGGCTTCGGTCGTCCAAGCGACTTCTTGTTTTTCTGCATCTCGAAGCCAAGATCCCCACTCCTTCACACGAATCCAGTAGCGTAGCTACGACTAGCCCTGAATGGTTTTTTCGGCGATGTGCCAATGGGTCGATTGGATTCATCGATTTATGACTATATATATATATTATGTATATAAGTATATATATATATGTAAATCTATAGTATATATATATATATGGTTGGTGGTTGACCTACCCCTCTGAAAAATGATGGAGTGAGTAACAGTTGGGATGACATGACATTCCCAATATGATGGGAAAGTCATAAAATTCATGTTCCAAACCACCGACCAGATTATTTACAATGGTTTATGGATGTTTATGGCCATCCGGTCATCCATCTCTTATTTTTCCATATTTTTCCGGGAAATCAAACATGGCTAACACTGAAGTCATCCCGAAGTGAACATGGTCCAATGGTTTGACGATTCACATCCGCAAGTCAGACTGGGCTGGTTGGTGGTTGACCTAACTACCCCTCTGAAAAATGATGGAGTGAGTGAGTAACAGTTGGGATTATGGTGGTTGATTTCTACCCCTCTGAAAAATCATGGAGTGAGTGAGTAACAGTTGGGATGACATAACATTCTCTTTTCTGAATGGAAACGAAACACATGTTCCAAACCACCAACCAGTGGGGGAAAACAATCCATGCTGACCTGCCATGGATGACCCAGGGTTCGACCTCATCATGTTGCAACGTGGAGCTGTCACCCACAATCACGAGGTTGTGGCCTTGGCCGAATCGGCTTTACAAAGTTCAAAACGACTCCACGCTTCGAGAAGAATATGGGATGATTGTGGAACAAACATGTTGGGATCGTATACTTTGGACATCTTTAAACATCTATTACAATACCCATAGGATCCATGTATGGTATATATACCTTGTACTTCAGAAACCTGGAAAAAAGCAGGATCTGAATCAAGAACCTGGGTATTTGCAAAGATCAAGAAATTTCCTGCATTTGGATGACAAAAGTGGGATATCCTACTTTTCCTCTATTTCAACATGTTTTCATATGTTTTCCCTCGTTTCTTCCGCTCCCTTCCGCTCAAGTCGCACCAGAGACCTTTTCACCTGCTTCAGCCATTCGCGTATGCCACGCCGGGAACTCAGACCTCCTGGAAGCAGGGCTGAGAGACAACTAGTAGCATGATGTAGGGTATATCAACCAGGATGGTTCTATCTTCAACGGATTTGGCTCAAGGGGACCGATCCATTTTCGAAAATCTGACAAGTGTCAGTGCCAGTGTTGGTCACCATGGGTGATTCCTTTGATACAACTGAGCTTGCAAAGGCTTGGGACGAAATTGAGACCATAAGGAACAGGCTTCGAGATGGAAAGCCGCTTCTGACAGTGCAGAAGTCTGGTACCGACTCATCGATCCAGGAGTGTAAGGCCAACCAGGATGTCTTAACACCTTTGCTGCACAGGTTTTTTACTTCCAAGCTCAAGCTGCCTGACATCGGAAGTCTTAGACATGAGATTGAGTCCCTCTACCTTAAGGCCAACCGGACCCCATCAGAATCGGAGATTGACGACGATGGTTGGGAATTGAGAACCATGATGAGGTTTGTAAAACGCAAAGCAAACCGTGGTGACTTTTCAAAGGATTCCCGACAATGGTATTTGAACAAATAATTTTGTTAGTGTTTTACTTTTGGGGAATGTTTTTGGGATTTTAAGAATCTTTGGAAGTTTCCTGAAATTTCCCCTTTGACTACGTTGTCTCCCAAGGACTGGGACTTCTTTCAAGAAATGGTGCTCATTTTGAAGCCCGAGCTTGAGGCAAGGATTCTAACAATCCAGCAAGGACATCGACGAAGCTCATTGAATTATGGCTAATCTGAATCCCTTCCCAATCACATGGCATGTTTCTTCATTGTTTTGGGGTTAGCCCTTACACAAACAGCCGAGTCTTCCAGGCAGAAGTCAATGAGACCCGACGCCGTCAGAAAGCTGAAGTTGAACAATTTGAAGACGAGGCTCAGAATTGGGGGGTCTCGGGGATCCCAGAAATTGGCCAATGAAATTTGATATGTTAGCAATCTTGGCTGCACATTGCAACCTCAGTTCAATATCTTTGGAAATCAAAATCTTTAAGGTCAAAGTTCATCAAAATAGCCTTCCAAATTCTTATGCCAATCCATTGCAGCCACAAACAGGAGACTGCAGAAGATGAAAGTTCTGAAGAGGAAGGTGATGAAGGCACCCATGAATCCACAGAGCCTACTGCCAGCATTCCTTCACAATCATCTGGGATTGCCCGGCCACCTGCTCCCCCAGTGGCTCCTTCCGCAGCAGCTCCAGTGGCAGAGCCTTCCAAGCCTGCAGCAAGCGCGGGTGCTGATGGGACCTCTGGCTCTGTAGATGCTGAGACACGCACCCCGACCACAAAATGGATGATGGCACTTACAAATCATGGAACATGTGCTTTTTTTGGGGTGAATGAGATGAATGCAACATGTATCTACTTGGTGAGCTTGCCAGGTATGATCTCTCGAGTAAATGTTTTCCAAACTGATAGCCAAATTGTTGCCCAAACATTCCCACTCCTGATCTATCGCCCGCTTAGGTAATGCTCAAAAAGCTCTGTACCGCAAGACCCTCAATGAGGAGTTGGCGCAGTTGCAAGTTCAGCTGGCCGAGCTACTGGCCTCAAGCTTTTAGATCCCCATGTGAATGTTATTTAGGGGGTTGATGCATTCTTTCAAAGACTTGTGTCCATAAATATTGTGTATCAACATAGATACGTATCCTTTCATTTCCGTTTCCAACCCTCGAAGTCACAGTGTGAACCCATGCCTGCTCCAACCAAGTGCCTCTTTCAAGGCTACGAGCGAAGAAATCCTATGCCAAGCCTGCAGCGCCAGTGCCGCAGAATTTGGACCCTGTCTTTGAGAAGGTGGCTGAACCAGGACGCGGGCTAGAGTTGCAGCAAAATATATATGGTGTTCCACCTTAATTTGGTTTCAATTATACACATCATAGAAATAAATAGAAATAACATATATAATTTTATTCGAATTTTTGTGGTTGCAGGACATGTCAAACCAAAGTCTTCATCAGCCTCTGCGGTTGACAATGTTGACACGCAGCCCATGGACGATATCATGGACATGCCTACACCTGATCCTACTCCAAAACGACCTGTTTCAAGCCACGATGTGACCAAAAAAAGGCAACAGTATCAGAACCTACCTTCTGTTGTCATGGATGGAAAGCCTTTGCAAAGTCAGAAGATCCCAGAGGGAAGCCCAGGGTCGTCCAGTGAGTCAACACGGGCCCCGACATCAAGTTGCTCCGGGGAAAAATCCAAGAGCTCTACTCCTGATGAAACCCCTGATGGTGTTCCCGCTCATGATCAAGTTGTTGATCCGGAAACAAATCAACCGCTCCGTCGTTTTCGCAGAAAAAAACCATCTAGCTTCTTGAGTGGTGCCAGTCAGGAAACCCTTCCCCTTGCCATGCCTGTTCAAGATGAGGCTACAGGCGCTTCTGATCTTCCCGAGGTCCTGCGTTGCAAAGAAGTCATGGGCTCATGGGATATATACATGTTCTAATTAATAATTAATGATCTATATATTTTACAGGATTTTTCTCATATAAAACTTACCAGAGCCTAGAGTGACCTGTTCCTACTTGCTTGCGGTTCATCTCACTTGCCCCTGCTCAGGTTGTGACCCGCCGAGACCAGCTTGCGATCAAGCGACCCCCGCCCAGCAATCGTGGCAAGGGATGTGGCCGTGGCCGTGGGAAGGGGAAGTCACCCAAGTCTAAGGCTAAGGCTAAGCCTTCCAAAACCAAGTCTGGGAAGAACAGCAGTGGCAAAAAACATGATGTAGAGGATGAACCCGAGGAAGATGCATGGGAAGCATGGGAAGCATGGGATGAGTGGGATGAGTGGGAAGAATGGGGTGATGAGTGGGGATGGTATGGTGATGATATGGATGAATCCCTCCCTTCCCAGAAAGCCCCCAAGCGCCCCAGAAAGCCAACAGCAGCAAAGAGCAAAGCAAAGGCGAAGGTGTCCAAGTCTCCTGACACACCCCCTGAGCCTGCGATTTCCAAGACCAAGAAGCGAAAGACCAATTCTGAGCCCCATGATGTTGCTGCCACCCCAGTGCCAAAGCCTGCAGCAAAGCGTCCCCGAGCACCCAAGACCATGCCAGCACCCAAAGCAAAGAGCTTGCCATCTCCCAAGTCTGCAGCAGCCCCCAAGCGCACAGCAGCCACCAAGCGTGCAGCAGCCCCCAAGCGTGCAGCCACGCCCCGAAATGCACTGAACTCGCCCGTCATCGACCGAATGATTGCATTCACAAAGAAGATTGACATGGGACTTGACTTGGAGGATTACAAGGAGAACGTGCGCACAGCCACCCCTGACTTGGGAAAGGGGTGCCTCAATGTCTACTGGACCAGGTTTTCCTGTGGACTTCGGTGGCAGACTGGCCGCAGCTATCGTGATGTGGGAACCTTCAGTTTCAATCGTGGGTGCCCCGGTGAACCCCGACTGAAGTGTGCCGTGGCAGTTGCTGCGACAATTGAGCTTGTTTCTCAACAAACATAAGAAAACTGAGCAATGTTTTTATTTTGTGTTTTGAAAATAGGTTGTTCTCCCCATATCCCAAAATTTACATCTGGAATCCTCCCTAAGCTTTGAGGCTACGATGATGACCAGCCGTCTGCCGAACTTGAACCCGGAAGATGTTGATCCCATGATGGATGAGATCAGAGAGTATGGTCGTGAAGCTCTCTTGAGGATGGATCAAGATCAGAATGATGTGGATTGACCCCGTTTTGCTTTCAATCACGGGAACTCGTGGTGAATCTAGGTTCACTTTCTTTCTAGGATGGACAAAGTGCTTCATTAGGATGGTATCAGTTGGAGTTCAGCGTTGAACCTCGCTTTGAAACCTCAAGTGAATACAGCCAGTGTGCCATGCAAACCAAACACCAGGACAAAAAAACTCATGCTATCTAGTTCTTTTCATATTCATGATTATTCATGCTATGTATCTTTCGGAGTCTTGACACCTGGCTGTGGGGGATACTTGGGGAAAAGCATCTAGTATGCTTGATCTCCCTGCGTCTGTAGCACCACTAGGCGATCAGGCCATAAGCTTGACAGCCGGGCCGCAATTGTGCAAAAATGAAATGATGTGCCATATGTGACCCTTGCACTCTCGATCGCACCTTTTATTTTGTGCTCTCCCTTATTTTACACCCTTCTTATTCTCCTTCAATATGATTAGAATTGCTCACATCCTTACCCAGCATTGCCCATCGCCCAGGTCGTCCTCATGTTTCCAGGGCTCGCCGCGTGAAGAGGCGCATTTCAAAGAGCAGCCGTCAGCCTGCCACGCTTTCCGGCTGACAAGCAATTTCAACTTAAAAAATGACATGCATCCGCAACTGTTCGATGATTGCCTATGCCTTCAATACTTGTTGAAGTTGGCTCAATCCAGATAGAAACTTGGTACGTGCACACCTGGATACTCATGAATACACATTTGGATTGCACGCTATGGGCCCTGCAAAAGCTTGGTGTGTGCAGAGAACCCCAACTGCACTATGTTGTAACCGTTTCAGCTGGATAATGGCTTGACCACTTCATTACTGGCACATAATGGCATCATAGAGGCGCCTTGTGGTTCTAAGGAATTTCTATGGGTGGTGGTCCTGGTTTACTACACCGAGGGCCTATTCAACTTGGATGAGGCAGGGTAGATTCAGGTAGACCCAACCCTTTAGAGCTGCCTATGTAAACACTGCTGAATAAAACATGCAATAGCACCAGTGTAAACCATACCCCAGCGGCCCGCAGGAATTCCAATGGCTGGAATACTATGCTGGCAAAGCAGCATGCACCTATGCTATGAGATCTGCTGGTTATACTTCGGCCCGTTTTGACTTGATGTACTGGGATCCCAAGAGCCAACTCAAGAGACCCAGAAATTTCTATGACCTTTTGACTCCAAGTGGTTTTGCGTTCCTTGGATGAAAAATGATTAAAATCAAATCATATACAAGATATGCTGAAGATAGCTGAAGCTTTTATTTTGCAGATGCAATGTGACAATTTCACTCTGGCCCTTCTCCCAATTTCCACGGTGCCCATCCGTGCCCTCTCCTTCTGCCAGGTTGGCCGTGGTGTTTGTGCTGAAAGGCAAACCCTGGGATTTCATCGCATGGTTCGGCATCAAGTGCTGCACATGGGTAAGTATAAATTCAGGAACGAGTTTGAGGTCAATATGCACAAGCATCGGAGATACTAGCAAGCGAGCTGTGATGCAAGGCAATTCCATGCTGGAAAGGAAAGGGTTGGAAGATGATGCCACAAACTAGTTTATTATAGAATATTATAGATAACTCATATCACGCGAAATGACATTTCAAATTCTTTCTAAAACAGATCAGGTGGCTTGGAGTTGACCCACTGTCCCACTCATGATACTCAGAACCCGGCCTCTGCATTCCCTTGAGGACCATTTGCCTATGTGCGCTTGTGACGGCTTGTCACGGGACATGGTGCTTGGAGCAGCCAGGCTCCTCTGTACTTGAATTCTACCCTACGCGGCTCCACTTTCTCAGTTGTCTCCAGGAATTCTATGGGGCTGCAGCAGCCACATGTTTTGAGATTAAATACTTTTTTTTATTGCAACTGTACCAGTCTGAATTTGGTGTTATGTAAAACATTCAGATGCACTATTAAACTTAATACCTACTTGTCAGCTGAGGTGAGAAAAGTTGGATGGTGGATGTGTATGTATGGGGCGGGGTCTCCAAAACGCCAGTGGGCATGGTCAAATGGCAGGGCGATCATGCGCCTAGATGTTGGGTGGAAACGCATGAAGCCAGAATACCAAACAGTCCGTCACTACACAGACAAAAAGGGTGTTCGTCGCTATCATGGGACAAAGGCCTTACGTTTCACTGAGAACCTTGGACTAATGTATTTCACTTCGTATGGAGAATGCTGAAGGATGATTTGTCCCCATTCAATTCACTATGTTGGAGGGTTGCCCCTATCTAAGGAATTACCCAGCCAAGTTTGGGGATGCTATCGTCCGTCTTCGTGAAGACTTGGTTGCTTCCCGGATTCATCATTCCTACCCTTCGCCAGTGCCTCCAGGTGTTGAAACTGTCCATGCCGCTCCGCTTGACCAGGGCCTGTTTTCAACGGCCAATCTGATGGAGGTGGTCAAATATTTGAGGTATGGGAGAGGACTAAATCTCCCAGACCATTGGAAAGCCATAATTCCCAAACCCTGAAACTACAGGGGTGTAGATTTCCTGCTTTGAGGAGTTTATCTGGAAACATCAGTAAATTGACCAATGATCGACGAATCCTACGTTTTCGAGTGTCGAACATATTCGAACCTATATATTTCCTCAAGAAACTAAATGGTTACTTTTCAGATTTGAACTGTTTCTGATGACTTTTCTATGCTCCAAATGAAGGATATCCCAAATTCTTCCCATCCAAACCCATATTCTTATCGACACATCCCATATTCTTATCGACAAAACTCCGTAAAAATCCCGTAAATATAGCAAAACCTGGTTTTTGGCAACCCGTAATCAACCCGTAAACATCCCATGAATTTCCATAAACATCCCGTAAAACCGCGTAATCAAAAAGTGGGATATTCATAGCAGGATTTCATGCGGCTCGAAATGGCTCGAAGCTGACAATATGTCGCTTTTCTCGAGCAATTCCCAAAAAATTCATTTGCTGTGGTGTGACCTACGGCTCCGAGTAGTCAGCTTGGCTTTGGGGTTTCAAAATGCAAGCCCTGTCCCGCTGGTTGATTTTGAGATAAGTGCTTGTTTGGACTGCTGGCCATACTTGTCAGACATGCAGCTGACAAAGCCGTTACTTGCACATAGCTAGTTGAACACATGCCCCTCGCTGCCCATTTATAGAAAGGCTGCTGAAGTTTCATAGGGACTATAGCTGGATTGTTCCAGACACCAGATGTCGTCCAAAAGGTGGTCATGTGGAACCCTGGGGGATGGGTATGATCATGTTATGAACGATGCCACGGCTGATGCGGAAGCAGAACTATTTCAGAAAATCAAGGACCATATCTTGTTTCTCCAACAATGATCAAAAAATCAAATAAGCCGAGACCAGTAGTCAAAAATCTTGCCAGGATCTTCAGCTAGAAGTGGATCAGCTGGAATCCGGTGACGTTGACAATGTTGAGACCCCTGTGGGCGATACCGTTCCAGAGGCCCCTTCATTTATAAGTTAATTACTGTTTGCATGAGCCCAGATGTTCCCTGTCGTTTGTTTATGTTTGTTTCACTGTGTCAGAACTCCTGGCTGCACACCCATGGCCCACCACCCCTGGCTGCAGGTGCCTGACAGTGAAGATGCTCCAACTGAAGCACCTTCGAGCACAGCCACGGCCAGTTCGGATGCTGACAGTACAGAGGTGGTTTCCAGGGTTGGGTGAACTGACAGATTACGAAATCTGAGTACCTTCTTCTTTGCTTGCATCTTTGACTAGTCTTTGATTTTGGGAATCTTTCAACATGCATTTCAATCATAAACCTTACATTTTGCGTGCTGAAAACCTACAAATCATTTTATGTAGTCCATAAACTGGCCCAGAAATGCCGCTTGAAGGCTGGTCAACCGGATGAGCTTGCCTTGAAGGATGAGTACATGGATGTCAGTGGTGATAGCCCAGAGGATGGTGGAGATGGTGACAATGAGGTACTTGTTAGGCACTATGGACTATGGATAAATGAAAACACCGATCCCAAATCACAATTACTATGGGTATTGTACCATGATTGTTACTTGCTGGTGATCGTGTATCTAAGGTATCGGTCAACGACCTTTCAGTACAACTTGCCTTAGCATTTGGACCAGAAGTCAAGCAGGAACCTACCAGTGACAAGGAGGAGGAGGAGAATCATGAATCTCAGGAGGATGCTCCTGCTCGTGGATCATCTGATGGCAAGGTATCTAAGAAGAAGCGTGTTCTGACCCGTCGGGACTCTTTGATTGATATTCATGCGAATGGACATGCTATATACTTTTGGGTTCACAGTTTGGGTAGAAAAAAATACTTGGAATGCATTCCAATCATTGGCCCGTGATTGATATGCAAGTGAAACCACACATCCCATCACATCCCAAGACACCACAAACTTGTGGCCCAGGAACTTTTGAGGAACGCTGCGAAAGCCAGGATCCGCAGGATGGTGACGCCGAAAAGCAAGCGCACTGACCTGGCAGTACCGCAGTGGGTGGCCGCGGAGTGGAATAAGGGTACCCGTGAGAAGGAGCAAATGGCAGCAACATTACAGGAAGTCAACTGGGATAAGGCACTGGGTTCAAAGTCTGGATGTAGTTTGAACTCCCATTTTCTGCAAACTGATTCTTTTTTATCATGTGAATCTAGCCAAGAACAATATACCTAACACCTCAAATTCTTTGTCCTTCCAGGCGAAGTCTGTGGATGAGATGCAGAGAATCATTACTTCACGAAAGAAGGTGAGTATCAAGAAGGATCAGGGCTGGTATTCAGAGGCTGAAATGAAACAAGATCTCAAATGGTCTTCGATTCTTAGCTGATCAAAACTTGAGACAATCTTTGTGGGTTCAAGTCATCAAACCAACCAACTGGTAAATACTTGCCTATTGGCCTATTGCCTAGGAACCGCATCACTGCCGCCAAGAACTACTGCCTTGACCCGAGCCGATCTGCCACTTGCGTGAGGCACCCTGGGTACAATCATAAATGAAATCCATCAATTATGGTTCTTGTTTGGTGTTGAATCCCACTTCTAAGATTGAATACAAAACCCATATCTTCCGCCTGCTTTGGCCGCAGGAAGAACCTGTACGACAACGCCGTGGAGTACTGGGTGACAATTCGTGAGACTGGAAGTTATGAAGAAGAACATGAGATGGCTCAAATGCACAAATCAACCACCAAGGCTTGTCTTTCTGAAGCTTTATTGGTGTCCAAAGTAGTTGTCAACTGTTTTCAATTCATTGGACTTGAAGTGTTTTTGGATTTTTTATCTTCAGGCTGATGAAGCCGTGAAATTTGAAGATGGATGCTTTGACCGCATCAAAGCCGCCATGCCCACCGGTGATGCACCCATGTCTGATGGTAGCAAACCTGGTGCTCCCAATGCTGATGTGAGTCCTGACCAACAGAACGCAGAACAGGACTGGGGTTTGCCAGTCATTTTTGATGTATCTATCATTATCGATCATTCCATTCACCAAACCAACAATCAATCAACCTGTTCTCCCTCCCATGTCGCTTGCCTCCAGAACAAGCTGCATTTGAAGCGCTACCTCGACTCTCTCCTTCGTTTGAGCACGAAGTTGAAAACTCTTCGTAGGGAGATGAAGGACCACTACACACCGGAATCTACCTCGGAGTCAAAACCTTATTATGATTTATTATGCATTATTGTTGAATAATCTAACACTGAAAACGAATGAGATTTTGGAAACCAATCTGGTAATGGTGGAACCCTCATCCTAGACAGCGTCAACGGAGCTGCATTGCCCAGGTCAATGAAGACCGTCCAGGACCACATTGCGAAGTTGGACCGGGAGTATGACATCTTGAATGAAGAGATGGCCAAAGGTGAGAATGCGAAATTTGGCCCTGAGCCTATGTCTCAGACTCACACCACAACATCTATCCCATATGATGCTCATGCGATTTCATCCTAGTTCTAGCTCCATTCCAAGCCATGTCATTTTGTTATGAGGTGGTGGAAGGTTGCCCACAAAAAGATGAACGATGCCACATTCGTGTTTGAAACTCAGAGGTCGGACTTGCAGGCAGTGTCATAGATATCTTTGTGGCTGAAGTTGACTATGTGACACCCCATTACATTTATATTGTCCTAAGAGTACCTTATAAAACAGAAATATCATTCCCAACCTGTCCCGTTATCCCAGTCTTTGACAACTTGAGGTCGAGCCGCGCCACAGCTGCAGAGCAGAAAGTGAAGCAAGCACCTCAGATGCTGCTACACACAATCGGGACAGGTGGCATGCGTGCAGTTTCCTTCAGGCATCCTAAAAATCCTTAAGACATCTTGAAACCATGATTCGACCAATCAGGAAATCCAAGCAGTTCTTTGACAAAAAGGACACCGAAAAAAATGAAGAGCCTGGCCGGATCACGAAGAAGAAGAAGAGAGAGCAACATGAGAATAATGCCCCCGAAACTGAGCGTAGAAGGGTTCGTAAAACCAAAACCAAAAAGTAGAGCAGTTTGCTTGTGATGTAAGATACTGCCTTTGCAAGCTTCTACTGCGGGGTCAGCCCAAGTCTTTTCAACAGAATGTTTCATGCTTCATTGATGTCTTATTATTGTTTTAGAGGTCACTTATGTTAGGCCCTATTGTCTCAATCTATGGAACCCCTGGTGAAGTGATCAGGCAGTTGAGGTGGTTTTCACCGCGCCTAGTCGAGCCAAGCTCCACACTGATCCAGGCTGCACATGTTGCCAGTCACCTCAGTTAAATTTCAACATGGCCCAATGTCAAGTAACACCAGGGTGCAAGCAAAACAGTGATGGAGATGCAGTGGCATTTCATCGTTCGCCATAATGGTGACAACTTAGACGTCAATCTAGAGTGCACAATTTGGAGCACCAGTGGGGGAGCTGTGCTTCCAAGAGAAAAATCAGTCCTTTGCACCAGCTTCGGTTTATTACCCTCTAGCCTGAGTTCTATAAGCTGACTGGGTAATGTGTGGGTTCTCATCGTTGCTGCTGCCAGGTCCCGGACCAGGCTTGCGAAGCTTCGTCAAAGAGATTGGCCATGGAGTTCACGACTTAGCCGACAGCATCCGAAACATGAAACTCAAATTCTGATATGTGCGTGTGTCTCTGCAAATTCTCAAGTAAACTGCTGAGCTTCTATATCATGTGTTCAAAATGCATATAAATATATAACATCATAAAACTGTCACCAGCACACCATTTACTACTGAAGTTGCATTTCAAATCTCGGGAGAAACCCTGATCCTATTGATCCATCTAGAATTTTTTGTTTGATTCTGTGACCATGAGGTGCCATGCGCTATGGCTGTCCGAACCGCAAAGGCAGTTCAACAGGAGGTCCCAGAGGTAGCAAGGTCCAGCTTGGGGCGCTTAGCGGATATCAAGGAGAAGAATGCTGAAAGGGATGTGCATAAACTCACTTCCAAGTTCAAGTTGACTTTGCCTATTCCGATGTCAAGCTTTAAAGCTGGATGGGAAACATTTCAATACCTCAAAATGTCCTCTTGGGCCTACTTCCTTTTGTCCCGGAACCTGTGGCACCACCTTGCTGGACTGGAAAGCCCTGACATGCCAAAGTGTCAACAGTCTTGGTCCCTTTTCTGGGAAAGATTTCGACAAGTGAGGCCAGGCCATGAAATTTATCGACGACCTGGCTTTGACTTTAGTAGGTGCTGTGCACTTCTACTTCATGGAGATGAGGGTCGAAGTTTGAGAAAAGCTGCAGTGTTGATACTTGCTGCACACAGCATTTTGGGGTATGGGACACGCACTAGTTCCACGAGTAGAAAGGCTGAACTCCACAAGTTGAACTACAAGAAGACTACTTGGATTACCCGTTTCCTGTTGGGAGTCCTGCCAAAGGCATTTTACTCCATGGACGGGGATGATGGGGGAGGATCTGAAAGAGAGAATGAAGAGTTCCAGTCGGACATTTATGAAAATCTTTTGAACGCTATCGCCACGGATCTGCGAAATTTGTTTGACCATGGGATAGTAAGTCCTCTAGATGGGCAAAGGTATTTTTTCTGCACGCTGAATGTGATGGGGGACTGGCCTTTTATTCAACGATCTGGACACCTAGCCCGATCTTTCTTCAATGCTGCAAAGCATGCCAAGCCCACAAAGACAGACCCGAAGGGAATATGTCACAGGTGTCTGGCCGATCGGCCTGGAGTCCTCTGGGAAGATTTTCAGAGTCAGGTACCACCGTGGCTGGCGTCCATGAACACAGAATCCCCTTTCACCAGTGAACCTTCACTTTTGCTTCTACCTCATGTGCAAGAGGACCCTGCCGAACTTTTTGCATGGGATCTTTTCCATACCTGGCATCTTGGCTGTGCAAAGGTGTTCCTTGGTACAGCCGTTATCGTTCTTGCTACCAGTGCACTTTTTGTAGGGGGAGTTGAAAAGAGATTGGAAGCGGTGACTGAACGCTTTCTTACATGGTGCGATGAAAAGTGCTTGAAACCTCACCTACGGAAGCTTAGCAAGGAGACCATGAGCTGGACCACAACCACAACCTATCCTTCGGGTGTTTGGTCAAAGGGGCATACTGCTCGTGTGTTGAACAAGTGGTTCATTTCTGAATGTGAAGCCAATACCCGGGCAGTTCGCGCAGATGTGCTTCTGACAACTGTGTACAAACGTGCTGTTTCCATAGAAACATTTTTGCGGGGTTGTACAGCTATGAGCTTTGGATTCCGTCTGCAGCTGCGATAGAGATTTCCTCCCATGGGTTATCCTTTTTGAGGCTCTATGGCCATGGGGCCAAGCAGTCTTATGATATGACAAGAAGACTTTTTTTGATGCAGCCAAATCTGCATCGGCTCCATCACATTGCTTGGCATCTGGGTGAGGACGCTAGGAAAATGGACTTTGTTCCTAACCCACTTGCGTGGAGTACGCAACCCGAGGAGGACTACATAGGGAGACCTAGTAGGGTGAGCCGAAGAGTTAGCCCTAGGTTACCCATACAACGTACCATACAGCGCAGTCTTATTGCAGCACATGCAGCATACAGGGATGCTGGACTTTTTATTGGGGACTGATGATTCTTTTTGTATCATATTGTTCACAACTATAAAAAATATCGCCACCATTGATCAATTACCACTATATTCACATTATTTCACATTCACGGTGCCCAGAGTCCAGACTGGGAGTCCAGCTTGCGAAACGATCTCCAGCTCGAAGGGGGTGATGAGCTTGAAAAAGCCACAGGCATGAGCAGCGTGCTGGGGAAGGATGGTACCCAATGGTTTAAACATGTTCTTAAGACATCCTAACATCTTTGATCCATTCAGGGTTTACACTTATTCCCCAAATATGTTAAAACCTGCATTTCGTCCCAATTTACAGGTTATTTTTGACATCCTACTTTTTCTTGGGATATGGAAGCTGAAGGTATATATATATATGCTAACATTTGGGGTATATTGATGGTACATGTATGTACATGTTACCATATATAGCATACATGGATCATATGGGATATGGAATTGTCATGGATTGTCTGTTATTAAACATCGCAACATTGGAAAGCTGGGATCATTACAGCAAGATCCAAATGGTGGGTATCCACGATTTGATGCGGGCGCCTTACGCGCAAGCAGCGCCGCTGCCACTTTGCGACGTTTTTTGATGATTTTCTGTGGGAAAAATGCCTTGTAAAGCGCATCTGCATCATCCAAAGGAACATGGAAAGAAGTCTCAGCCACATGCTAGTCATGCTATATCCAATTTGGAAGACTAATTACTGACTACAGTAACATCTGTTTAATTTGTTCATCGTGATTGTGCGGTCAAGCATTCAACTTTCGATTTTTTTCACAACTTTCTGCTCCATGTCCCTTTCTTCTGCATACTTTGTCGATGATGATTTGATTTTCTTGAGCTCCCCCACGTGCTCGTGTGAGCAAGACGCATAGCCTTTGGCGCTGCCCTAGAAAGCCAGTGATGCCATCGGGGTTGCTTCGAACCTGCCCACAGGGGAGATTTATATAGAGACCATCGAAGATTCAGCAAGTCCCCAAATCTCAACATGACGCTTCAGGACTCAAAGGAATGCATCCTTTTACCCTTGGCCCTTGGAATGGGATGCTGCTGGAAAGCCCTGTCATCAGCTGAGAGTACTACGGCTACTGCAAATGGTGACAAACTGTGGCAACATATGTCATCAAGAAAACTGAAAGCTTACCCCCAAAAAAGGGGGTTCCTAAAATAGAGGTACCCCCAAATCATCATCCACTGATTCATAGGATTTTCCATAAACCATGCCATGTTAGTTATCATCTCTTCGACCTTTCTTCCAAGGCCCCAGCGGCGCTAAAAATCACCACGTCGTTCTCGTTGCCCTGCGCCAGGGTTTTTTCGTGGCAGCTGAAAGTTGTTGATGTGTCCAGGTACCCTCTGGTAATTTAACATAGCTATTGAAAATGGCCATTTATAGTGGATTTTCCCATTAAAAATTGTGATTTTCCATAGCTATGTTAAATTACCAGAGGGTAATACCCAGCAATATTACCCTGTTTGGTGGTTGATTTCTACCCCTCTGAAAAATGATGGAGTGAAAGTCAGTTGGGATTATGACATTCCCAACTGAATGGAAAAAAACACATGTTCCAAACCACCAACCAGTACCTGGTAGACATACAACCTATAGAAATTCCTGGTGCACATTGAAATAACTACTTAACAAACTTAGAACGGGTTTAACTGCATCCAAATGGGCTTCAACTCGGTCAACGGTTTTAGACGCATATTCTTGGTTTTGGCCTAGGAATTCTTAGGTTAAAGCATGATATGGGGAACATATATAGTCACATATACACAATCACTGGTTTTGCAAAGTTCAAACTGCGCATATCTTTGCCAAGCGCCTGTTGGTCTGGTTTCGTCTTGCATGGCATCTTGAATGCGTCTTGGAACCGTCAATTTTGAACAGGATTTTGCACTCAGATGTCTGAGTTGTTTCATGTGGTGCATTGTGGTGAATTTTACCGGGTGATCCAAAGGAATGCGTTCTTGAATTTAGTTGTTCTCTACAAACACATGTTCAAAAAATAGTGATTCAGACTTCTTCTAGGTGTAGCTGCAGTGGGCAAACAGAGAGCCTGCTTTTGTTGGTGTTGGAAACCACCCAAATCTGAAAATGCTGGGAATTGAACAATAGGGACCACGCATTGCCAACATTTGCAAACGCTGTTTATATAAAACTTCCTTAATCTCTTCAGCAAACTTGTGAAATTCCGTTGTCGGTCTGCAAACTTACCCATGACGGATCCATGTATGCTATATATGGTGCTCCATGGATCCCATCAATATACCCCAGTCATGTTAGCATATATACCATCACCATGGATCCGTCATGGGTTATGTCACTGCCTGAAATCCGTCCACCGTGTGAAAACGTGGATGTGGTTCATCCGCCAAAGGGTCGATGCCATGCCTTGGCAAAAGCCGTAAAAATCATCCCATTTTTTGATTTTTTTTGCTCATGATTGGAGGACAGAAACGGCTTTGGACCCAAGATTTTTAGCTCGGTGGTTGGCCGTTCACATTCAGGAGCATGGCCCTCAACATGACAAGTGTGTCATGCTTCTCAGTTCCAGCTTTCAAGCAAAAATTCACGGCACTCCAAAAAAAATTTCATACTTTACATACTTTAATATACTTTTTATGTAAATATATATTCTACCGCCACAGATAGACAATTAAGACTCCCTCTTGGTACTGCCAAATGCAGTAATTAAATGATCGAACCTTGCAGTAATCACAGAAATAACCTGATTCTCCCAGAATTGGAGGAAGATGATGCTGGTGAAAACCCCAATGTCTTTTTACTGGTAAAAACCATAGTGCCATAGTTTCTTGATGTCTCATGATGTCTCCTGGTCTGATTTTCCATGGCTGGCTGCAAGCGGATCATCATGGAGCGGCCCTTGCGCTGCTGCGCAAGTGCCACCGTGTTGCTGCCGTGGACCACCTGGCCACTAAATGCCTTCTCAATGCATGGGGGGGCTAACATCAGAGATACATATACATATATATATATTATGTATATATATATTATGTATATATATATATATTATCTATAAAAATATATATATATATAATATGTATATATATATGTATATATCTGGTTGGTGGTTGAGCCCTACCCCTCTGAAAAATGATAGAGTGAAAGTCAGTTGGGATGATGACATTCCCAATGTTCCAAACCACCAACCAGATATATATATATAATATACAATATTTGTTTTTTGCCTCCCACAAACCGCAGCTGCAGCTCAGTGCAGAATCCAACTGTTTGCTATCTGCTTCGCAGAATGAAACTGACTTGTGAACCTTGCAGCACCATGTTCTTTTGTCTGAATCACGGAATAGGAGGGACAAATCAAATTATCAAACAAGGGGGGAGGAAGAGACGCAAAAAGGAGCAAAAAGAGTGTAGACCAACGTATATAATAGTATATACATATATTTTATATACAATATTTATATCTACACTATATCTTTATACAATATTTTACATTATGTCAAATAAATATAATCATAATTATAATCATATTATAATCATAACATAATCATATTATAATCATAGTATAATCATATTATAGTCATATTATATCATATTATAATAATATTATAATCATATTATAATCACATTATAATCATATTAGAATCATGTTAGAATCATATTAGAATCATATTAGAATCATATTATAATCATATCATAATCATATTATAATCATATCATAATCATATTATAATCATATTATATCATATTATAATAATATTATAATCATATTATAATCATATTATAATCATATTATAATCATATTATAATCATATTATAATCATATTAGAATCATATTAGAATCATATTATAATCATGTTATAATCATATTATAGTCATATCATAATCATATTATATATTTATAATTATGATTAAAATCATTTAAATACACGGATGGAACTGGCCCGCCTCCCCCATCAAGCTGATCTGCGCGTTGTAGCCTGCCATTACCTGGAGGCCCTCCCCGCAATTCTTAGGACATTTGTCATAGGGAAAAACATATGGAACTCAATGAATTGGTTTAAGGGAAAATGTTCACCGGAAAGCCTCATATTTCATGGGAGAATCGGACAGGTTTCCGCTTCATAATTTCCCTGAAACCGATCCATTCAGGAACAACATGATGAACAATATATGGAACAAAATCATGAACCAATGGATAAAAAGGACATAGAAAGGGCATTAATATTTTTCCAATGTTGAAAAAAAAATAGGCAATTTATATATGGCCTAATTTTCCTATATATGAACCAATGGATTTTCGACCAAACCCAACTAAAAACTTGGCACGCCAAGTTGCGCTGATGGACATGGGATCAAGCCCAGAGGCCTGGAAAAGCGGAGATCTCCAAACGTTTTTTTTGATGCTTATATATGGGTATGTCTGAAAATGGGGTATACCCCCAATTATAGCCATTTAGTAGGGATAATGATCATTAACCATTGGGTGTAGGGGTACACTATTTTCAGACAAACCCATATTTATATCTCTAACATGAGATACTATATTATATGTATACTATGTTGTAATGTTAAATGTTACACATCTATGTATATCAAATTTTATATCTAACATATGCCAAAAGACTCTTAAATTCGTCAACACAACTGTATTAAAACTGTTCTAGTCCATTCCTGCCAGGCAAGTTACATCCAAATGGAAAGGGATCATTGTCACAGCACATCAACTCAAGCATTGGTTCATTTGCCTGTCAAAATCCAGGCAAAGTTATGCCAGGTAGTCATCAGAGAGACCCCAAGGATTGGCCCAACGATGCGTTGCGCCGAGAAAATCTGTGCATGGCATATTTGGCTGAGGTGAAGAAGTATCAAAGCCTCCAGGACATTTTACCTTGATTCAAACATATTAAAACACTATGGATTGAAACTCAAGGTAGCTTGAAACTTACTACTACGATAAGGTAAACTATGAATTGTTCCAATAGTGTTTAGATACCTTGTTCCATAGTGTTAAGATACATTGAACAATCTTTTGATTGAAACATTGGATACGTCACATTCTGGCATGTTCTGCTACCGCCTATATGGATTGATCTACATATGTCAGACATATTGGTCACCAAAACACGGATGGGGGTTCCGAGCAATTCGCTTCCCTCAGACCAATCCTGTAACACGAAAATCTTCAGAACAACAATTGTGCTAAGACATAGAAGTAGCATTGAGTGGTTCCAAAGAAACTTCCTTCTCGAAACTGCTTCCCAGGTCTCTTCAGTTCTGGTAAGTGCGCAAGGGTTGTAATTGGCCATACGTGATCTGCGCATGTATCACATTTTCACATCGTCGTCATCTTGTTTGTGCAGTTGTTATGCAGTTCACAGACGTTGCCAGACCTCAACATACTAGAAACATCAAACATCTACCACCCCATAGTACAGTAACCCAAAAAAGATAAACAAGTAAGTTCCTACTGATGATTAATTATAAGTTTCTATCTTTTAGGGGGTTACTACAAGCAAATACCAACCACAGTAAATCTAAGTAAGCCATGAAAGCAATCAACCGGGGATGTTTGATTCAATTTTGATTTAATTAAGATCAATAATCAATGGATTGGTTTAGCGGAAAATCTACAGAAAACCACAGATTTTCCAATTAAAGAAAGGGGTTTCCTGTCATTGTTTCCCGTAAACCACTGCATTGAAATAAAGCATGGCCCTATCATGCCCTATGAATCCCTCTGAAAGCAACCTGCAAGGATCGTAGCAGTGCAGCTACCTGAGCAACTGAGCAAAGGGTCGCGTCTGCTTGTGCGCGTCATGACATGTTATGTGGACTGTGTTTGACATATATACATGTATCTATATGTGTATATATATATACACAGTATATACATTAATTATGATATACACATATATATATGTATACCATCTGGTTATTTAACATAGCCATGGAAGCCATGGCCCATAGAAATAGATGATTTTCCCAGCTAGAAACCCCCATTTTTGGGGGATTTTCCGTGGCAAACTGTTAGTCATAACCAGATGGTACCCTCTGGTAAACATACAAAAAACTATGGAAAATTATCATTTTCAATCCGAAAATCCACTATGTCGACTGGGTCCTTTTCAATGGCTACGTTAGTCATAACCAGAGGGTATATGATGTATATGTGTGTGACTACTTCTAGTTATGGAAAATACCAACGAATTCCAGGTTATATTATTATTGTAGTGACGTTATTATCATTATTACTATTATTTATTACTAGTAACGTTATAATAATTAGTGTCCTGGTTATATATGTTATTTTCCAGGTTAGTCCAAAGGAATTCGCATTTTTTCACATTTTTTCGCTCGCCAAGGGACCACCTGAGCCTCCATGGGATTCTGCAAGCTGGCACTCCCTGAGCGACGAACCTGGCAAAAAAAACTGCCAGGCCAGGGCCATGGACGTTAGTTAACTTATCTGGTTGGTGGTGCAATAACCATCTTGAAAAATATGAAAGTCAATGGGAAGGATGACATCCCATATATTCTGGAAAAAAAACTGTTCCAAACCACCAACCAGTAGTTGAATAGTTAGTAAATGGATTACAGTATATGGGATAGTTAACTAGTTAAGCCAATACTACCCAATTAACTGGGATTATCATCGGGATAAGTTAGTGAATGGATTATTTCATTGGGATATAGGGGAGGTTTTTTAACCCCATGCTGCCCATGCTTCAAAACAATGCGAAGAAATCTCTGTTAAATCCTGCAATTGAGCATCACAGACAGCACCATTCAGCTTCTTTTTATTACTGCTTCACTTCGCAGACTCAACTCGGCATACGCCATCCCGCCCCTGCCATGCTGAGACACACACCAACTCCTCTGCAAAGTTCAGACCAGCAGAATCCTGCACGGGTTGTCCGACAACCCAATTCTCAAAGTGAGATTGATATATTATAGCATCACTATGGGTGTGTCGGAAAACTAGGATTTCTCCAATAGACAAAGGGATACAAATACCAATAAAGAAACATCAAATATGCTATTTGGATGTGTCTGAACATGCGGTATATTGTGGTATATTTATATATATGTTCCATATGTACATATATATATATATTATATATTATAATACACCTCCCCAACTTGTGGTAATTGTAATAGGGAACCCCGACTTTTTAGACGAAAAAATAACATACGTCGTCCTCACAGTCAACTGATTTGCACGAAACCCGCTTCCAAGCCATGATTTGGGGCATTCGTGGCTTTGCGCTGTTTCAAGGATTTGTCCATGTCCAAGACTGGGTTTATGTTGAATACTAAGAAAACATGGTACCCGCTGGTAAACTAAAATAACTATATGGAAAATTATGGAAAATCACCAAGCTATTATACTGCTGGACTGGAAGTTAGAATGCTGTCTTGTTTTCCAAAATGTTTTTTTGCTAAGTAAGAATGCGTCTGGTATTTTTTAAAGAATGTGTCCCCCCATGGGTTAGTAACAACTATTTCTATGGCCATGTTCAATAGCAAACTGTAAACGTTTACCAGAGGGTAACGCCCATTACTTCCCATTTCATCCCAATAAATTCCATTCAATCATCAATCAATCAACATTACCCTCTGGTAAACATTTACATAGCTATTGAAAATGGCCCAGTCGAAATAGTGGATTTACCAATTCAAAATGGTGATTTTTCCATATAGTTTTTTGTATGTTTACCAGGCCGGGTCAATCCCATTGAAATCCCATTAAACCACCATAGAATCCCAATGAAATTCCATTGAAATCCCATTAAACCACCATAGAATCCCAATGAAATTCCATCAAAATCCCATGAAAAACCACCATAAAATCCCACTTTGATTATGGCCTACAGCTGTGGGGAAACATCAAAATCCCAGTCGTTTACCAGTTGCTCAGCCGATGGCATTCAGAACCGTCGCAGTCGCACCAGAAAGATCACCGGATGGTCGCGGGGTCCATCCTGGGAGCTTTTGGATTCTGGCATCATGGCGATAATATGTATCCCTATGGATCCATGGCCGCCTCCTGAGAAGGTACTTAAATGTACTTAACCCCCCAGTCATCATACCATAAAGTCCCACTTCCTAAGAAGGTACGGCTGGATCCACAGGGTATACACGTACATAATCAATGTGTATATATAATTTACATATGTATATGTATATGTATGTGTATATACATACAATATGTGCGAAGACTGTGCGAAAACAGTCTTAACCGCTCCACTTTCTGTTTCCAGCCGTTTCTTTAGCCCGTTTAACCGCAATCTGCGACTCTCGACTCTCCACCGGGGACACCTTAAAGGTGAAACCTTCTAGGAAGTTTCCAGGCAAGGCCCGGCATACCTGGCGACAATCACTGGAAGTGCAAAAAAACATATCTGTAATTACCCTCTGGTAATGACTAACATGGCTATGGAAAGATCCACCATGCTATTAATGGGAAAACTCACTATTTCGACTGGGTCATTTTCAATAGCTAACTGTAACAAATTACCAGAGGGGAAAATTATCTGTAGATCTGCAAAGTATTGTCACAAACCAATGTTTTTTTTGGTGATTAAAAATCCGACAATGAATTTGCATCCTGGAGCACAACAGAGAGGTGCTTCAAACGCAAGGAACATTCATGGCAGCAACCAACATCCAGATCCAACGATCTCAACCAGGATTTGCAGTGTACCGTTGTGCAAGCCAAGAAAAATCAGAGTTTCATAGAGTTTCTAGGCATCCAGCACAATGCAACATCTTCAAAAGGCAAAAGGGGTTGGTTCTTTGTGGTTGCGTTTGTGTCATTTTCACACACACACACACGCATAATTGGATGGAGCGGAAATAACATCATCCCCAAACCCAATTTTTTGGGCACCACGGAAGGTGATGTTTCCAGCTCCCCGTTGTAGAAACGCTGCGAAGGGTACTCACCTTGGCTCGTTCAACTGGGTTCTCTGCGCAGCGAAGCGTTCCTGCAAATCATTGGGGGAACCACAGAGAGAAATTTTCTTGGGTGACTGGATAAAACATATTGTTCAGCCCAGCCGGAATTCTTTGAGCAAGTTAGCGCCTTTGACAAAACTGAAATTTGACTCAGCATTTGGACATCTTTCGTGGAAACCACTTTCGGCACAACCGAAAATTTTTGCACACCTTTGCTATATATAATTGGTGCATTGCCAAGTATTTTCCTCTTCTTGCATGGCTTCCAGCAAACGATATTTTCACAACTGCCGTTGCACGCCTTCTACGCTTCAGGCCATGAAAGCACTGTGTCTCCGGAAAAAAATGTTAAATACATCAAACTGCAAACCGACACATAATTTCACATAATCGCATTCAAGATAATAAATAGCCGCGACCAACCCGGGAAACCCAACTATCACAAAAGCAACTGGTGTTGTATATGGGCAAATAGTCTGATTCATGTGGTAAATGACATACAAAATCAGGGTCAGTTTTTTCTGGCATGATCACGAAAATACTTGTGATTATTGTCTTGACATTGTAATTGTTTCTGAGAACAAATAGGGTTCACTTATGGCTTTGACATGTTGTTCCACATCCGAGCTGGCAACAAAGCCGAGGCTGCATTCGGTACTGTACCTTTCAGGCTGCTCTGCACTTGAACTCTTCAATGGTGGTGAATAGAATAAACAAAATTACATCAAAAAACGTGTCTGTTTTATAGATGGATCGACATATTATCATTTTGATGGGAAAATTAAGAACCATGGGATTTTCAGGTACCCTATTTCAATCATATGCGCAAATCTCATCCACAGTGCCTGCAGCATGTGCTTCGCTTTGTCCTTCCGACTCTTCCGGAGCACCTCAAGCTGGGCCCCGCTTGGAGATTTTCTTGCTTGCCCACCCCACACACACACACACACACACTTGGAAAAAAAACAAAACCCGGTGCGACGCAACAATTTGCAGAAAATATATGAAAATATTGAGTGTGGCGGAACTTTTATATACCGCAAGGCCATCTGAAAAGGGAAAATGGGAATGGTAAATAAGAAAAGGATGCCATATTTTCAGCCAAACCTACAATGCCGGGCAAATCTTTACCTCCAATGATTCCCGCATGGAAGGAGACCTGAGCTAAACATAGGGGCACCCTACTCAAATCACTCAAATCCAGTCCGTTGAGATCCACAGACCTACTGTAGCATCCATCGCACTACATCAGTCACATACTGCGGAAGGTTGCGAAATCCTGCACCACCTGGGACGGTGGAAAGCCTATAGCGCGGACATCTTCTGAGTGGTGCGCGCACAGCGGCAGCAGTGCGGCGCAGCACAAGGTTCGGTTCACACAAACTGCTTTGTACACACTTCGAAGTGGAGTGGGGGAGTTCGCCCCCGCCCAACATCTGTGGTCTTCCACAGGCTGCGGAGTAAACGTTAACAAGGGAACAGGCAAGGTCAGCCTGTCGCTTTGGAAAGCTAGGATAAGGAAAACAAGTTCCTGCGAAGCGTGTGAAAGCAGGGAGCCACATGGCTGCATCCAAGCTTTTGCACGGCATGCACTCTGTGTGCCCAGCATGCTGGTTGATTGCCACACGTGAGCAGGTCAACTAGTTGAATTACTAGTAGACTAGGGCAAAGTTTAGTGCCCCATAAACCACCGCATTGGGAAAAGCAAGAAGGCGTGCCCCTGAGGCTCAAGTCACGAATGGGTGACATTGTCGCATCTCGGCAGCTCTGTTGCACAAGTCCCACGAGGAACTCAGTCTGCAAACCAACCTGGGCATTCCGCTAGTCAGCAGCGAGGAAGGAAGCTAGCAAAGCGTCCTAGTTAACAATCCAGACAGTGGCTCCTGCTGCCAGCTCACACTCCACTATGTATTCCCCATGGCCCAAGCAAAGAAACACAGCTGTAGACCCTCAAGGGTTGAGCAGCAGAAGTCCGACCATACGCATGATGCATTTTGCACTGTCTCCACTACAAGATAACCGCATGGAGGGCAAATCGCTGTAGCACTCACCAAGTGGAGCCATCAATGTAGCCAATTGGCGGGCCGCATTTGAAGGCCATTGGCAACACAGTAGGACAATAACACTGAAATGTTCACAACATTCACATCGTAGTTCCATGTGCTCAGGCGCCGCGCCCCGTGCCGTCCACACCATTGACATGGCCAAACCAATCGCACTGATCAATGCCGTTGATGATCGGAAAGGAGGAAAGCTACCAAGAGAGCCCAAGGCAACTCACAAGGCAATCACACGAAGCAGTGTGCAGCTCGATCTTTTGCGAGCGCACATGGCACCCAGCATCCACAATCCTTGGCAAACGATCTGGTCAAGGTTCGGTCGATAACAGCCGCACTACTGGAAGGACTTGACCCACACGGCTGGTAGAAAGCCTATAAAAATCAGGGATAAACCACCTATGAACTGGTGCAGGTTTTCTTCCATCCAGAGTAAGTGAATGATAATTTCACATGATACAAACATATACAAACGATGCCTCCACTGGCAATCCCCAAACGATCCACAAACGGACCATTCGCCTCGAAGAAACCCTGCCGTTCTTGACTGAATGGTCCTAAAACCTCGGAATCTTCTGGCCTCGGCGCATTACTTTTGGAACAATTGGGAGAGTTGATGGCAAACATAGATGTCAGGAAAATGAAGATGATGATTATAATAGTTATTGTTATTAGTTATAGCCAATCATATATATATATACATACACATATATATATATTACTATCATTATCAATGATGATGACGGTGGTGGTGGTGGTGATAATGATTAGGTGATGATGGTGAACATCATCAAAATCATTATAGGCTTTCTGAACGACTGGGCCTTGCAAATTCCTGCGCAGGGTGAAGAAAATCGAGAAACAGTCTCCGCCTCCATCGTCCAAAGAACGTCCATCTAAGATTACCTATGGAAGCAACAGAACCTCACATTTACAGTATCATGGGTTGTGCTACCCTCTGGTAAACTAACGTAGCTATGGGAAATCCTCAGTTTTAATTGGCAAATCAACTATAAATGGGCAATTTTTAATCGCTATGTTAAATTACCAGAGGGTATCCTTTTACTTTCACACAAAATTTCAAAACCTTGACCATCTGCCAAGTTTCATTACCCGAAACTTTCGAATGTGGTGAGCTATCAATCTCATAGACTCATAAGCATATTATACATCTACTTGTTTGAAGAGTTTCTAGTTTCTCAATCAGGAATCGGAATCATTGTTTCCTATTGCTTTTTTATATATATATATATATACGTATATTATATTATATGTATATCCACAAGATTCCATTCAGCCATATTAAATCAATACTAGGTTTATCTTCAGCACGTGCGCTGCGCCCCAAGTACCCCACTATGTAATATTATATACACGTTCATAGGGTTAATTTAAGGTTTATGTAGTACATGTAGAGATTCTTTAGGGCTCTGTAGGGTTCATTCAGGGTTCTTTAGGGTCCATGTATGTTTTCTTTGAGTTTTTTTAAGGGTTGTTTTAGGGTTGGTGCAGTTTTTTTTAAAGGTTTCTTGGGGGTTTTTCAAGCACTTTGGCCACAGAGGGTTCACATGGACGTTTCACAACTGACCTAGAGCCATCTTGCTGCTAGACCTTCAACTACAACTAAGCGACAAAGTACTGTAAAGGTTACCAAACATGAGGCTTCCATCAATCATCCCGGAAGACGTTGCATAGCACAAGTGATGGCCGTATTCTGTACTTATCTATTGTTATCAAAATCTCCTATCGACTAAACTCTGGTAAACTAACGTGATGCAAATTTCCCGCGTATAACGATAGGTTTTTCCACGTTAGGTATGTGTAAAATGGCCGCCATATCCCGATGATAGCCACGTTAGTTGCGTCCTCCTTTTGATAAATCTATGTTATACGTGCGGTGGAGAACAGGATGATAGCCACGTTAGTGGGATTCCTTCCATGTTGGAAACCTTGAATGGTGTAAAATGATAGCCACGTTAGTGGGCTTCCTTCCTTGTTGGAAAGTTTGAATGGTGTAAAATGATAGCCACGTTAGTGGGCTTCCTTCCATGTTGAAAACCCTGAGTGCTGTAAAATGATAGTCACGTTAGTGGGCTTCCTTCCTTGTTGGAAACCTTGAATGGTGTAAAATGATAGCCACGTTAGTGGGGGTTTTCAACATATGACTTTTGTATGATACATCGTCCTTGGGAGAACCCAGGCAGAGTCAAGTACAACCCTGGGGGGGCCCACCAAACACATGCGACTGGTCCCTGAAAAAAGGGGGTACGGGCTGCATGTTCCCCATAGCTAGGTTAGCCAGTGGCCTACCCAGTGGTGGCTACAGGCCGTATCCCCCTTCCCCCAGAGACCACCATGGAGCATTTTACCAGGCACCCATGAATCGATTTTCATAGCTAGGTTAGGTTCCTGGTAAAATCCTCCATTGTGATACCTTGGGGAAGGGATTACCTGCAGCCGCCAGGCACCCAAAAATTGCTAGGTTAGGTTCCTGGTAAAATGCTCTGCAGTGGATACGCCACTGGCTAACCTAGCTTGGGGAACATTTTTTTTCCTTTTACAGGACTAATGCTCAAAATCACCACCAAATGGCCTCCCGGCCAGATCGAGCCCCAAAAATGCATTTTGGAATAGAGCTGTGCTATTGAAATTGATCGGAAAAAAAGCAAATGAAAATCAATTTTTGGGTGCCTGGAAAAATGCTCCACTGTGGTCCCTAGGGGAAGGGATTACCGCCTGCAGCCGCCAGCCACCCAAAAATTGATAGGTTAGGTTCCTGGTAAAATGCTCTGCAGTGGATACGCCACTGGCTAACCTAGCTATGGGGAACATTTTTTTCATTTTGCAGGGACTAAGTTGCTCAAAATCACCACCAAATGGCTTCCCGGCCAGATCGAGCACCAAAAATGCATTTTTGAATAGAGCTGTGCTATTGAAATTGATCGGAAAAAAAGCCAATGAAAATCAATTTTTGGGTGGCTGGTAAAATGCTCCACTGTGGTCCCGAGGGGAAGGGATTACGGTCTCCAGCCCCCAGGCACCCAAAAAATGCTAGGTTAGGTCCCTGGTAAAATGCTCCACTGTGGTCCCTGGGGGCAGGGGGTTACGGCCTGCAGCCACCAGTGGATACGCCACTGGCTAACCTAGCTATGGGGAACATGCAGCCCGTACCCCGTTTTTTCAGGGACCCTAGCTATGTCATATTTAAGCTTACTTGTTTGATTAAAACCCTCAGGCATTGGCACCAATGTGTGCCATGCAGGCTGCAAGGGCCACGTTAGCTACCTAAGATTCAAGAAAGAACAAAAGGGAAAAAACAAGCACTTTTATGGGTTGAGCTGAAACAATGTGGAACACTTTACAATAGCTATGTTAGGTATAGCTAATTTTGCCAATAGCCACGTTAGTTGTTTTTTAAAAGTTGAAAACCTTGAGTGCTGTAAAATGATAGCCACGTTAGTGGGCTTCCTTCCATGTTGAAAACCTTTAATGGTGTAAAATGATAGCCACGTTAGTGGGCTTCCTTCCTTGTTGGAAACCTTGAAAGGTGTAAAATGATAGCCACGTTAGTGGGCTTCCTGCCTTGTTGGAGACTTTGAATGGTGTAAAATGATAGCCACGTTAGCGGTCTTCCTTCCATGTTGGAAACCTTGAATGGTGTAAAATGATAGCCACGTTAGTGGGCTTCCTTCCATGTTGGAAACCTTGAATGGTGTAAAATGATAGCCACGTTAGTGGTGGTTCTCAACATATGACTTTTGTATGATACATCGTCCCTGGGAGAACCGAGGCAGAGTCAAGTACAACCTTGGGGCCCACCAAACACATGTGACTGGTCCCTGAAAAAAGGGGGTACGGGCTGCATGTTCCCCATAGCTAGGTTAGCCAGTGGCCTACCCAGTGGTGGCTACAGGCCGTATCCCCCTTCCCCCAGAGACCACAATGGAGCATTTTACCAGGCACCCATGAATCGATTTTCATAGCTAGGTTAGGTTCCTGGTAAAATGCTCCACTGTGATGCCTCGGGGAAGGGATTACCGCCTGCAGCCGCCAGGCACCCAAAAATTGCTAGGTTAGGTTCCTGGTAAAATGCTCTGCAGTGGATATGCCATTGGCTAACCTAGCTATGGGGAACATTTTTTCATTTTACATGGACTAAGTTGCTCAAAATCACCACCAAATGGCCTCCCGGCCAGATCGAGCCCCAAAAATGCATTTTTGAATAGAGCTGTGCTATTGAAATTGATCGAAAAAAAAAGCTATGAAAATCAATTTTTGAATGCCTGGTAAAATGCTCCACTGTGGTCCCAAGGGGGAAGGGATTACCGCCTGCAGCCGCCAGCCACCCAAAAATTGCCAGGTTAGGTTCCTGGTAAAATGCTCTGCAGTGGATACGCCACTGGCTAACCTAGCTATGGGGAATATTTTTTTCATTTTACAGGGACTAAGTTGCTCAAAATCACCACCAAATGGCTTCCCGGCCAGATCGAGCACCAAAAATGCATTTTTGAATAGAGCTGTGCTATTGAAATTGATCGGAAAAAAAGCCAATGAAAATCAATTTTTGGGTGGCCGGTAAAATGCTCCACTGTGGTCCCGAGGGGAAGGGATTACGGTCTGCAGCCACCAGGCACCCAAAAATTGCTAGGTTAGGTTCCTGGTAAAATGCTCCCTGTGGTCCCTGGGGGCAGGGGGTTACGGCCTGCAGCCACCAGTGGATACGCCACTGGCTAACCTAGCTATGGGGAACATGCAGCCCGTACCCCGTTTTTTCAGGGACCCTAGCTATGTCATATTTAAGCTTACTTGTTTGATTAAAACCTTCAGGCATTGGCACCAATGTGTGCCATGCAGGCTGCAAGGGCCACGTTAGCTACCTAAGATTCAAGAAAGAACAAAAGGGAAAAAACAAGTCACTTTATGGGTTGAGCTGAAACAATGTGGAACACTTTAGAATAGCTATGTTAGGTATAGCTAATTTTGCCAATAGCCACGTTAGTTGTTTTTTTAAGTTGAAAACCTTGAGTGCTGTAAAATGATAGCCACGTTAGTGGGCTTCCTTCCATGTTGAAAACATTTAATTTAATGGTGTAAAATGATAGCCACGTTAGTGGGCTTCCTTCCATGTTGGAAACCTTGAATGGTGTAAAATGATAGCCACGTTAGTGGGCTTCCTGCCTTGTTGGAAAGTTTGAATGGTGTAAAATGATAGCCACGTTAGCGGTCTTCCTTCCATGTTGGAAACCTTGAATGGTGTAAAATGATAGCCACGTTAGTGGGCTTCCTTCCATGTTGGAAACCTTGAATGGTGTAAAATGATAGCCACGTTAGTGGTGGTTCTCAACATATGACTTTTGTATGATACATCGTCCCTGGGAGAACCGAGGCAGAGTCAAGTACAACCTTGGGGCCCACCAAACACATGTGACTGGTCCCTGAAAAAAGGGGGTACGGGCTGCATGTTCCCCATAGCTAGGTTAGCCAGTGGCCTACCCAGTGGTGGCTACAGGCCGTATCCCCCTTCCCCCAGAGACCACAATGGAGCATTTTACCAGGCACCCATGAATCGATTTTCATAGCTAGGTTAGGTTCCTGGTAAAATGCTCCACTGTGATGCCTCGGGGAAGGGATTACCGCCTGCAGCCACCAGGCACCCAAAAATTGCTAGGTTAGGTTCCTGGTAAAATGCTCTGCAGTGGATACGCCACTGGCTAACCTAGCTATGGGGAACATTTTTTTCATTTTACAGGGACTAAGTTGCTCAAAATCACCACCAAATGCGGCCAGATCGAGCCCCAAAAATGCATTTTTGAATAAAGCTGTGCTATTGAAATTGATCGGAAAAAAAGCTAATGAAAATCAATTTTGGGTGCCTGGTAAACTGCTCCACTGGTCCCGAGGGGAAGGGATTACGGCCTGCAGCCACCAGGCACCCAAAAATTGCTAGGTTAGGTTCCTGGTAAAATGCTCCACTGTGGTCCCGGGGGCGGGGGGTTGCGGCTTGCAGCCACCAGTGGATACGCCACTGGCTAACCTAGCTATGGGGAACATTTTTTTCATTTTACATGGACTAAGTTGCTCAAAATCACCACCAAATGGCTTCCCGGCCAGATCGAGCACCAAAAATGCATTTTTGAATAGAGCTGTGCTATTGAAATTGATCGGAAAAAACGCCAATGAAAATAAATTTTTGGGTGCCTGGTAAAATGCTCCACTGTGGTCCCTGCGGAGAAAGGATTACGGCCTGCAGCCACCAGGCACCCAAAACTTGCTAGGTTAGGTTCGTGGTAAAATGCTCCACTGTGGTCCCTGGGGGCAGGGGGTTACGGCCTGCAGCCACCAGTGGATACGCCACTGGCTAACCTAGCTATGGGGAATATTTTTTTTCATTTTACAGGGACTAAGTTGCTCAAAATCACCACCAAATGGCTTCCCGGCCAGATCGAGCACCAAAAATGCATTTTTGAATAAAGCTGTGCTATTGAAATTGATCGGAAAAAAGCAAATGAAAATCATTTTTTGGGTGCCTGCTCCACTGTGGTCCCTACGGAGAAAGGATTACGGCCTGCAGCCACCAGCTCCACTGTGGTCCCGAGGGGAAGGGATTACGGCCTGCAGCCACCAGGCACCCAAAAATTGCTAGGTTAGGTTCCTTCTAAAATACTCCACTGTGGTTCCTGGGGGCAGGGGGTTACGGCCTGCAGCCACCAGTGGATACGCCACTGGCTAACCTAGCTATGGGGAATATTTTTTTCATTTTACAGGGACTAAGTTGCTCAAAATCACCACCAAATGGCTTCCCGGCCAGATCGAGCACCAAAAATGCATTTTTGAATAAAGCTGTGCTATTGAAATTGATCGGAAAAAAGCAAATGAAAATCATTTTTTGGGTGCCTGCTCCACTGTGGTCCCTACGGAAAAAGGATTACGGCCTGCAGCCACCAGCTCCACTGTGGTCCCGAGGGGAAGGGATTACGGCCTGCAGCCACCAGGCACCCAAAAATTGCTAGGTTAGGTTCCTTCTAAAATACTCCACTGTGGTTCCTGGGGGCAGGGGGTTACGGCCTGCAGCCACCAGTGGATACGCCACTGGCTAACCTAGCTATGGGGAATATTTTTTTCATTTTACAGGGACTAAGTTGCTCAAAATCATCACCAAATGGCTTCCCGGCCAGATCGAGCACCAAAAATGCATTTTTGAATAGAGCTGTGCTATTGAAATTGATCGGAAAAAAGCAAATGAAAATCAATTTTTGGGTGCCTGGTAAAATGCTCCACTGTGGTCCCGAGGGGAAGCGATTACGGTCTGCAGCCACCAGGCACCCAAAAATTGCTAGGTTAGGTTCCTGGTAAAATGCTCCACTGTGGTCCCTGGGGGCAGGGGGTTATGGCCTGCAGCCACCAGTGGATACGCCACGGGCTAACCTAGCTATGGGGAACATTTGTTTTTTTTTCATTTTACAGGGACTAAGTTGCTCAAAATCACCACCAAATGGCTTGCCGGCCAGATCGAGCGCCAAAAATGCATATTTGAATAGACTTAGAGCTGTGCTATTGACATTCATCGGAAAAAAAGCCAATGAAAATCAATTTTTGGGTGCCTGGTAGGGGAAGGGATTACGGCCTGCCACCAGGCGCCCAAAAATTGCTAGGTTAGGTTCCTGGTAAAATGCTCCACTGTGGTCCCTGGGGGCAGGGGGTTACGGCCTGCAGCCACCAGTGGATACGCCACTGGCTAACCTAGCTATGGGGAGCATTTTTTTTCATTTTACAAGACTAAGTTGCTCAACATCACCACCAAATGGCTTCAGGGCCAGATCGAGCCCCAAAAATGCATTTTTGAATAAAGCTGTGCTATTGAAATTGATCGGGAAAAAAGGCTATGAAAATCAATTTTTGGGTGCCTGTTAAAATGCTCCACTGTGGCCCCTAAAGGGATTGCGGCCTGCAGCCACCAGGCACCCAAAAATTGCTAGGTTAGGTTCCTGGTAAAATGCTCCACTGTGGTCCCTGGGGGCAGGGGGTTACGGCCTGCAGCCACCAGTGGATACGCCACTGGCTAACCTAGCTATGGGGAACATGCAGCCCGTACCCCGTTTTTTCAGGGACCCTAGCTATGTCATATTTAAGCTTACTTATTGTTTGATTAAAGGCTGCAAGGGCCACGTTAGGTACCTAAGATTCAAGAGAGAACAAAAGGGAAAAAACAAGTCACTTTATGGGTTGAGCTGAAACAATGTGGAACACTTTACAATAGCTATGTTAGGTATAGCTAATTTTGCCAATAGCCACGTTAGTTGTTTTTTTAAGTTGAAAACCTTGAGTGCTGTAAAATGATAGCCACGTTAGTAGGCTTCCTTCCATGTTGAAAACCTTTAATGGTGTAAAATGATAGCCACGTTAGTGGGCTTCCTTCCTTGTTGGAAACCTTGAATGGTGTAAAATGATAGCCATGTTAGTGGGCTTCCTTCCATGCTGAAAACCCTGAGTGCTGTAAAATGATAGCCACGTTAGTGGGCTTCCTTCCATGTTGGAAACCTTGAATGGTGTAAAATGATAGCCACGTTAGCGGGCTTCCTTCCATGTTGTAACCTTTGAGCTGTAAAATGATAGCCACGTTAGTTGGTTTTCCTTGGCCAGGGTCTCTGGGGAACATGCTGGTCTGGGAGACCCAAGTGATAGTCACGTTAGCACTGTAAAATTCGAAAACGCACGGTTACGTTAAATTACCGGAGTGTAACTAATCCGCAGTACTCCGCATGATTCCATATGGATTAATATCAGGAACGTGTCCAGGGTCCTCTTTCAGGACAGGCTGCAATGCTAACCGGTCAGCACCGAAGCTTGAAATCGGCCTAGCAGCGGGTTCATCCCACATCGCCCCCCAAGATGATAAAACAAACAATATCTTTTGACACATATGTGCCATGTCAAAAAACGGCATGTCTGGTATGGTCATCCATCCCATACTGGAAACCCGTGCTATAAACATCCCTGTGTTCATGAATTGGTTACCATCCCCCTGTTTATGGGGACATAATCTATCTGCCCGGCTGGATCGTTATGGACCAAAAGCCATGGAATCCCCAGGTCATAGCTGGGATCTGTGGAAGCTCATCACAACCAGAGGATGAGAGGATATACGCTGCAATGTGCTGAAGACTCCAGAAACAAATCCCCAGCCAGTGTGGACAGGTGCAATCGTTCAATCTGAGCAAGAGCAGTCTATATCTCTATAGAAAGTGAAGAAAGAACAGTGCACTACCTTTTTTCCAGGATATTCCATCATATAAACTATCCATTTTGCGGTAGTTTGGTAAGCGAGCTGCTCCTTCGATGGCGTTTTCGATTTTTCCACAACGCCGGGAGTCCGAACCCCAGCTGCTTAGGGTCTCCAATCAGAACCAACCTCAACCCAGAATGCAGGGACTGGTGGTCTGACTTTGAAATCTTTCAATCGGACCAGAAAAAAAAACAAACATGAGACATGTTTTTTTCGTGCCAATCTCAGATGCCCTGCAAAAAAAAAAATCTTAGCTGGTTAGTAGATAATCCCATTGATACCAAAAGATTCCAAAAGACTAAAGGATTAAAGTACCCATCTAAGATTGACCTAGAATCTTCAAGTCTACTCCTAAGGATATTACCTAAATCGGACTTGAATATACCTATAAAGTGCGTTTAAGGATTCGGGATAATTATATTGATTCCACCTATCTGCAATTTCAGCGGCCTTTTAATCTGGGTCTGACTGGAAATAGGGCACACCGAAATTATATAATGGTTTATCCTATTCGTTTAAATTGTAACTTTGAAGGTATGCCACATGTTCCAGACAAAGCCATCTGAACATCTTGGGGGTTCGTCAACATATAAGGACACACACACACCACACTTCGGCCCTGGGTTTCGCTACTGCTCACAGCCACGAGTGAGTGCAACCAAAGCCTGATGCTCGGGGATTGGCAATCAGCAAGTCTCCGTCGCAAAAAACATTGAAAATTCAAGCAATTCGAATGGGTGCAAGTAAAAATTTCTCCATGCAAAATGATAGGTCTTGGTGCACCAACCAGCGCTTTGCGCACCCCTACATTTTGTATGGAGGAATATTTCGCCCGGATTTTTGATTTCTATTTTTTCTGAGTATGAGTTTTGCTTGGACCCCGACCCCCAAAAAGGCATCTGTGTGAACCTGTTGCTCTGCCACTTCCCTGCATCTTTCTCACTCAGCCTTCAATTGTCTTTAAGGAGCAATCTATCCTTTTTGTAAGGAAATGGGCTTACTGATATTTACGGCCTGTCTTTTTACAATGTTGACAAAAAGTGAAGCGTTCATACCCCCTTTCTTTTGCCCAAGAGTTGGGTTGGAAAGCCAGGCTGACTCGGACAAGTGGCATGGCGTTGCATTTTGAGATCTTAGTAGCTGCAACTGCCAAGCAGCAGAGTTGCAAGCACTAAGATCTCAAAATCAACCGCCATGCCACTAGTCTGAATAAGCAAAGTGCAACATGCTCAAAAGAGACAACTGCCAAAATCTATGCAGAATTGGGCGCGCAGCTCGTTTTCCAAGAATCGCACCAATTTCCTACAAAATGAATGGCCCCAACCCCGCCAAGTTTTCAAACTGCATTTTGAGATTGCTATATCATGGTGATTTTATGCCTAAATCATCTATTTTTTTGCTCTTACAATATGGCAAGGTGCAGGCAGGCTCCCTACAAAATGGCCTCCGAAATGGGCCTTGAGGCCCTTCAAATTAGTACATGCTACAAAATGGCTGGGCTAGGGAAAGTGATTTCCTACAAAATGACCCTAGAAATTGGGCTTATATTGGCCTTGAGGCCAGCCATTTCATAGGGGAAATTTCAACGGGGATATATATATATATATATACCAATACCTTCCAGGTACCCCAAAAAAATGTTTTATCTAATAGTCTTTGTACATTGACCATTTTTCGAGCTATTTGGAGGGTCGCACGGTACTTACATTCAATTGACACAGATATGTGTCGTTCTTGTCAGCTGTACTACGGAGCATACGAAGCGCAGGCTGAGTGAAAGGCTGCTGCAGTTGTGATTTGTGAACTCCTGAGCACAAAGGAGTTGTGCCACTTTCATCCACTTTCTAGTTGCCAAATAAAACTCTTAACCAATGTCTCAGACATTTTGAAGACCAAAGCATTGCAACAGCTGTATTTTTTTGAGATCAAATTGGCCGAGACCTTTTGGGGGCAAGCTCACATTTCGCAGTGATCTCCAGTCTGATGCACTTTATCTCTCAAAGATCCTCGAGGAATTGAAGCCGCTGCGGGCATTGCAGGCATTGCCCGTCCCTTGATTTCATCTCTTCATATCATTTAGGCTGCTGACCCCATGTGGCTCGGCGCTGAGCTCCAGACTCGTCCAAAACCACACGCTGCAGCTTCCTTCGTGGATATTTCACTGGGACGCACCCGAACGGCTCAAGTTCTCCTGAAAAAACAAACAGTTTTGAATATGTTTATATGTTTTGGCATTTTGGAGTTCTGCATCTTTCATGCCATCCCTTACAAACCTATGCATCGCATCAAAAGACGCACCTGTCTTCGGGCTCGGCTGCCATGTAGACAGTTTCGACGAAGACCTGACGGGATGCTCATGGTTTCTTCCTGCTGGTTCTACAGAAACAATATGAAATAATGAGTGATTAATGAATACCTTTTGTGTTCAACATACTCCCATAAAGTCTTCAAACACATCCATCAGCAGCATGGCAATGACCACACGACTCATACAAAACACTGCAAAATCATGGAATGTTTTGAGAAACAAAACCCATAGAATATACCCAAATTTTGGATATGTGACATGTCCCATAACACCCAAATGCAACTTTGACGTTCTTGGACCTTAACACTAATTGTGGTAAACACACGCACACATTTCTTTTGCCACTTTACACAAGGTGGTGCCCCATAGTTAGCTAAGTTGGTTTATAACTCCAATGACTATGGTTTATGGTACTTATAACTATAGTTAATGGGGTTTATAAACCAACTTATAACTGGGGGGCACCATCCTGCATGGTCTATGATGAAATAAACAGCTCTTGGTCCTTCAACTCCAAGCAGTCTGAAGGCCTCTTGAGACGCAGCGTCTTTGTCGCCTCCTGAACCCCGCGGCTTCCAACAAAACGGCACCCCAATCATGGAACAAATGTTACAGAATGAGCTTGCACACTGAACACACACACATATATATATATATGTAAAGTATTTAAAATTTGTAAATATATATATATATATTCATATATATATATATAAGTACATTACATGTGTGATATGTTTTTGCAACAAACGATATATATATATATATATCGTTTGTATATATATTTATATATCTAACTGAAAAGTACATTAAAACAACACATTTACAATCATATCAAGCAGAAAATATATCAATCAATTGAAAAATACTATACTAAAAAACAAGAAACTATAAAATATTTAAAATATAGATAAAAAATATTACACATAATATATATATATATGTTTAAACTATGAGAGAGATATATATATATATATAGTATGTAAAATATATACCATATCAACCTTTAAACTCTATAATATGCAATATTTGATACATAATACATAGCATGTCAAATTGAAGATTTCGTACATCTAAGAAAATAAAGACAAAACTATCATATGTAATCTTTCATCTGCAATCTACTATATATAAAACAAAATGCAAGTAGATGGTATAATATGTATATAATGTATACTATATAAACGCAGGATGTTTAGAGGTCAAACTTGCGACTTGTGGACAGATACAGCAACAGGTGAGAGCAGCCAGAGAAAAGAAAGAGACAGAAGAGACAGTGTCAGAAGAGAAAGAATCAATATAAAGAAAATCCAGGTGCGCGAAAAATAGAACAGTCGCCAGACAAAATGTTTCCCAATTTTTGTGGATGCGGAAGGTCGAAAAGTAGGCTAAAAGCACCACATTCTCCGAGCAGTTTTGGAAGTTCAGGTATTCAAAAATTGCACGCCGCTGCGGTGCGAATGTAAATGCTAAAGGCACCACATGTTCGGACCACTTTTGGACGTTCAAGTGTCATTTGTCGTGGCAGGCGCAAGTGATTCTGCACCTTGCCAAAAGTGAGCACAAGTGAGGGTTTTTTGTAGCAATTTCAAGAACGCTGGCAGGAGGGGGATGTTCCAAGAGGATCTGCAAAGATGCAGTTCGCGTGGCAGGCACAGAGCAAGAGACATCCCTATCACAGATATTCGGAGGCCAGGACGATGATTTTCTGAGATGGGTCGCATTTTGGAGCATCAAATTTTCAGGTTTGCCAAGATGATTTTGCGTGACAGGTGCAGCACTTCGTATGACCTGGCATCACTTTTTCGTGGCAGGCGCAGTACTTTAGACAGATGGAGTGGAAAAAACACAAATCTCATTGGTACGAGGCCGTCAGCTCTGCACTCAACTTTCCATTTTTGAAGGGCGTCTCGCAGAATTGCTTCGTTTTTGACGTTGTCAAGTTCAAAAAATGAAGATGGTATTGTCAACTTCGAATTTTTGAGGACGTGTCGCAGAACTGCCGTGTTTTTGACGTTATCAGTTTCAAAAATTGAGGATGTCTAGCAGATTTGCTGTGTTTTGGACTTGTCAAGTCCACTTTCAAAGGAAGTCTCGCACAATTGCTTCCTTTCACATAGAAAGAAAGATAGATATAGATAAATAGATAGATAGATAGATAGATAGGTAGGTAGATAGATAAATAGATAGGAAGAAAGAAAGATAGGTAGAGAGAGAGAGGAAAGACAGGCAGACAAAGAGATCAGACAAACAGACAGATAGACAGATAGATAGATAAACAGGGAGGGAGAAGGAGATGGAGATAGAGATAGAGACATAGATAGAGAGATCGAGGTAGATAGTCAGAGAGATAGATAGACTGATAGACAGGCAGAGAGATAGATAGGGACAGAGAGAGATGGAGAGAGAGGAGAGAGAGAGGGAAATAGAGAGAGAGAGAGAGAGCGAGAGACCCCCAGAGAGAGAGAGAGAGACCCAGAGCCTCAACCACCTTTCGGTCCATCAGTGGATTCACTCTGCCATCCATGCATCACAACAACTCACCTCTCCTATAGTTTCCTATCTTTGAAACTTCCGCCACCCCCTTGTGCGGTACTATGTTGAATTATTAATGTGTATAGATATACACACATAATATATATATATATACAAACATAAAAAGTGGGAAAACTCATGCAAACTCATTCTGCCCGCTGTAGCTCAACAAGTCTCATGATTCATGATGAACTGCACGGTGAGCACAGGAGTAGACCAATGATAGGTGTTTCATTGTGCTGGTCAGCTGGTCGTGTCCTCGCAGCTTTAAAAGCGGCACAATCCTCAATGATGGCTGTGTCTATGAAAGCAGTGGCATTTTACAAAAACCAAAGTTGTTTGGCGTCGCCAAGACATGGATCGAATGGACTCACGGGCGAGGTGGCCCCTACCCCTTTGTCCATTTCCGTAGATTTTTGGATGATTGACCTCCACCTTCAAAGCCCAGCACTTGGTTTCTACCTACTCCAGGTTGTCCATGTGCATTTACCGTTTTGTGTGCGTGAAATGTATCTACAGAATCTATGCTGTAAGACATATGTATATATATATATATGAATTATATAATCATTATATACAATATACATGCATGAGTGAAGTTGCAAACCAATTTCAGCTACCATCTAATTTCACCAGCAGGCCGAGTGGTGAGCATGGAGCCTTTTCAGAGCGAATTTGGATCCAAGAAGAGCATTCCCAAACTAATTCCTCAAAATCCTTGATTAAAATGAATCCACAATGGTGCAATGGTAGTAATGCCATTAATCCACTTGATTATTAGAAGTTTATTTTCTTTCATGCCAAGTCCACCAAAAAAGGACCCAAGGACCCCCTTCGTAGTGCCAGCGGAAAACTGCCCTTGAGGCTGGCACCCTTTGGAAGCGAAACGGCGACGCAACACATCCTGGGGATGGATTGAACTAGCTAATGGGAATCAGGAAACAATCATGTCTTGTTGGTGGTTGACCTACCCCTCTGAAAAATGATGGAGTTCGTCAGTGATGATGACATTCCCAATATATGGAAAGTCATAAAAGCCATGTTCCAAACCACCAACCAGATGCCTATGAAGAATTGGAATCTGGCAACGGATCCGGATATTGGGCGGCGTTGGTAAAGTTGTCCTGGGCCAAGGCCTGTGATCTGTGCTTAGCTTCCAACACCGGACGCCCAGAATCTTGGGTTGCTTCACAGACTTGATCTTGTCGTTTCTTGAAAAGTCAACAAGCAACAACTATCCGTTCCAAATTCAAGATGCACATGTCGAGTTTTTCAGATTTAGCATTCACTTGTGCTCTTGTTTGCACAGCCATGAAGAGTATTGTATTGACACCAAGTCGTTCATCCTCCCGCCACAATCATTGTCCTTGGCTGCGTGGGTGCCAGTAGCCACCAAGATTGATCTGGCCCAGTTTCAATCCACCCAGGATTCCTCCAAAAAACGGTATAAGCCTCAATTCACTTGCGAAAATGGGTATGACATTCCAATATATGGAAAATTTCATCATGAAATCCCATTATTATGGGTATGACATTCCCTAAATTTCAAAGTTATGTTCATTATGGGAATGACATCCAATAATTTCTAGACCTTTTAAACCTTCTTCCGACAACTTGTTGGCTGCCTCTCAGCTTCTTGGCGCAGCCACTGCTCCACGATCGCCACCTGCAAAGGTGAACGCCCGGAACCATTGTTGTACGTGGTTGCATATATACATATGAATGTATGTATGTATGTATGTATGTACGTATGTATGTGTGTATGTATGTATGTATGTATGTATGTGTATGTATGTATGTATTGTATTGTATGTGTATGTATGTATGTATGTATGTATGTGTATGTATGTATATGTATGTATGTATGTATCTGTATGTATGAATGTAATGAATGTATGAATGTAATGAATGTATGTATGTATGTATGAATGAATGTATGTAATGTATGTGTATGCATGTATGTATGTATGTGTATGTATGTAATGTATGTGTATGTATGTGTATGTATGTATGTATGTGTATGTATGCATGTATGTATGTATGTACCTGTATGTATCTGTATGTATGTATGTATGTATGAATGTTATAAATGTATGTATGTATGTAATGTATGTGTATGTATGTATGTATGTATGTGTATGTGTATGTATGTATGTATGTGTATGTATGTATGTATGTGTATGTATGTATGTATGTGTATGTATGTATGTATGTATGTGTATGTATTTATGTATGTATGTATGAATGTAATGAATGTATGTATGTATGTATGTATGTATGTAATGTATGTGTATGTATGTATTTATGTGTATGTATGTATTTATGTATGTATGTATGTATGTATCTGTATGTATGAATGTAATGAATGTATGTATGTATGTATGTAAGTATGTATGTATGTATGTATGTAATGTATGTGTATGCATGTACGTATGTATGTGTACGTATGTAATGTATGTGTATGTATGTATGTATGTATGTGTGTATGTATGTGTATGTATGCATGTATGTATGTATGTATCTGTATGTATGTATGTATGTATGTGTATGTATGTATGTATGTATGTGTATGTATGTATGTATGAATGTAATGAATGTTTGTATGTATGTATGTAATGTATGTAATGTATGTGTATGTATGTGTGTATGTGTGTATGTATGTATGTATGTATTTATGTATGTATGTATGTATGTATGTAATGTATGTGTATGTATGTATGTATGTGTATGTATGTATGTGTGTGTATGTATGAATGTAATGAATGTATGTATGTATGTATGTATTGTATGTGTATGTATGTATGTATGTGTGTGTATGTATGTATGTATGAATGTAATGAATGTATGTATGTATGTAGGTAATGTATGTGTATGTATGTATGTACGTATGTAATGAATGTATGTATGTATGTATGGATGAATGTAATGAATGTATGTATGTATGTATGTAATGTATGTGTATGTGTTTATGTATGTGTATGTATGTATGTGTGTGTATGTGTATGTATGTGTATGTATGTGTATGTATGTGTATGTATGTGTATGTATGTGTATGTATGTGTATGTATGTGTATGACTGTGTATGTATGTGTATGTATATGTATGTATGTGTATGTATGTGTATGTATGTGTATGTATGTCTACGTATGTATGTAATGAATGTAATGAATGTAATGAATGTAATGTATGTATGTATGTATGAATGAATGTATGTAATGTATGTGTATGCATGTATGTATGTATGTGTGTATGTATGTGTGTATGTGTGTGTATGTGTGTGTATGTATGTATGTATGTATGCATGCATGTATGTGTGTATGTATGTGTGTATGTGTGTGTATGTATGTATGTAAGGTAAGGTAAGGTAATGTAATAAAATGTATGTGTATGTATATAAGTATGTATTTTTGTATCTATGTATGTATGTATGTGTGCATGCATGTATGCATGTATGCATGCATGTATGTATGTATGTGTATGTGTATAGGTATGTATTTTACATATGTATGTATGTATGTATGTAATCAATGTATGTATGTATGTATGTATGTGTATGTATTTATGTATGTATGAATGTAATTAATAAATGTAAGTATGTATGTAATGTAAGGTAAGGTAAGGTAATGTCATGTAATGTATGTATGAATGTATTGAATGTATGAATGTATGTATGTATGTGTATGTATGTATGTGTACGTATGTATGCATGTGTATGTATGTATGAGTATGTATGTGTATGTATGTGTATGTCTGTGTATGTATGTGTGTATGTATGTGTATGTATGTGTATGTATGTGTATGTATGTGTATGTATGTGTATGTATGTGTCTGTGTATGTATGTGTATGTATGTGTATGTATGTGTATGTATGTGTATGGCTGTGTATGTCTGTGTATGTATGTGTATGTATGTGTATGTATGTGTATGTATGTGTATGTATGTGTATGTATTTATGTATGAATGTAATGAATGTATGAATGTATGTATGTATGTATGTATGTAATGTATGTGTATGTATGTATGTATGTGTATCTATGTATGTATGTGTATGTATGTATGTAAGTATGTATATGTATGTATGTGTATGTATGTATGCATGTGTATGTATGTGTGTGTATGTATGTATGCATGTGTATGTATGTATGTGTATGTATGTATGTATGTGTATGTATGTATGTATGTATGTGTTTGTATGTATGTATGTATGTGTATGTATGTATGTGTATGTGTATGTATGTATGTATGTATGTGTGTGTAGGTATGCATGTATGCATGTATGCATGTATGCAAGTATGTAAGTATGTATGTAAGTATGTAAGTATGTATGTAATCCATGTATGTGTATAGGTATGTATTTTACATATGTATGTATGTATGAATGTAATGTATGCGTATATGTATGTGTATGTGAATGTGAATGTGTATGTGTATGTATGTATGTATGTATGTATGTATGTATTGAATGTATGAATGTATGTATGTATGTGTATGTATGTATGTGTACGTATGTATGCATGTGTATGTATGTATGAGTATGTATGTGTATGTATGTGTATGTATTTGTATCTGTATGTATCTGTATGTATGTGTATGTATGTGTATGTATGTGTATGTATGTGCATGTATGTGTATGTATGTGTATGTATGTGTATGTATGTGTATGTATGTGTATGTCTGTGTATGTATGTGTATGTATGTGTATGTATGTGTACCTATGTATGTAATGAATGTAATGTATGTATGTATGTATGTATGTATTTATGTATGTATGTATGTATGTATGCATGTATGCATGTATGCATGTATGCATGTATGCATGTATGCATGTATGCATGTATGCAAGTATGCAAGTATGCAAGTATGCAAGTATGGAAGTATGGAAGTATGTAAGTATGTACGTATGTAAGTATGTAAAGTATGTAAGTATGTAAGTATGTAAGTATGTAAGTATGTATGTATGTATGTATGTATGTATGTATGTATGTATGTATATGGTGGTGGTTTGAGAAAGGTCCGGTTTCTGATTTCTCAACCAATTAGCGCGCCGAACACCTTGAATAGTGACTGCATCAAAAAGAGTCCTGCCCAACCTTTGCAAATTTGGCTTTGTCTGAAAATGGTCTACCCTAAAATCATTTATCAATGCTATTTTCCCATTAAAATGCTATTAAAATCTATTTTCCCATTAATTGCATCTTTAAAATCAAAATTTACCCCATTAAAATGATATGAAAATACGGCACCGCCCATTTCCCGACATCCCCAGTGCACCCAGTTACTCAGGTTGGTGGGGAGCTACACTGACTTTCAAGGTTGAAGCAATAGTCATCGGATTTGAGGAAAGAACGACAGGGAATCATAGAGTTGTTACCTTCAAATTCCTGGTCATGTAGGTTTACATAGAATTACTCTTCATCCACTTCTTGGAAAGAGGATTTCGCAACTTGATCCAACGTATCCGATACACTTAACTTTCACAGAACGAGGTCGAACAGCCACAGCAAACAGAATGTGGCCAGCTGCAGTCTATTCGATACTGATGTGTGTATTATATCGGACCGGACTCAGTGGCTGTCGCAAACAGAACCGTCATGTTTCATCAATACTCGAGGTAGGGATCAGGCCCGCATGAAATCTCGAGTGGAACTTCCAGAGGCCCACTTCACCTACACCCTTTCCGACCGCCAGGTGAAGCATCCAAATCATATGTGTCACGGTCAATGAGTTGGATGATATGTTTCCACATTGGGAGAATAGGGAATCGTCATGGAGAGAGTATCATCCCCTTTTATGGGCAAATAATAAATGTCTTGACCTGCCAAATGACAACGGCACATGTATCTGGCTAGCTTGTATTGTCATTCACACATCTGATTCTTTTGGTGATTTAGAGTGATGCCCATCTCGAAAAAAAATAGCCAAATGTACTTTCGGTGGTGCCCGATAATCAGCTAAGTTGCTTTGTAACTGATATCTTATGATATCTTAGTAGGCTTATGGCTGATGTATCTCCATACTATAGCGTTTATAAGTGTTTATAACTTAACTGGTTGGTGGTTTCAACCCTCTGAAAAATATGAGTTCGTCAGTTGGGATGATGACATTCCCAAAATATGGAAAGTCTTAATCCATTCCATGGTTCCAAAATGTTCCAAACTACCAACCAGTTAAAACACACACACACACTATATGAGTCCGACGAAGAATTCCAACAACCGAAGAATCCGTCCATCTCCGGCCCAACAGGGGCCCCAGACAGCGACATCACCTGATTTTGCAACGTCTCTGGACATCTCCAAAGCCGGACTTGAGTTTGATACCCATATGCTCCATGGTGCTGGAATATTTACCTACACTTGCCCTAAAAATCACCCAGTTTTGTAGGCAAATATACCATACATGGAGCATATGGGATAGGTAGTGTGGTATGGCATGGAAAAAACAACGTGCCAACTTCGCTTAGAAAAATGTGCAAACCTCTTCTGTTTCTCTTTAAAACTCGGGTAAAAGATCGCCCCGACATACCACAGTCATCCACGTCATCTGCATTTCGCCAGGGCCAAGATACTCTTGCCAGTGCCAGGAGGTCCTTGCACCTGGGCGGAGAGCCGGCAACCAACATCCTCCGTCTTCGAATGAACACGTTGGGATGTTTTCCTATGCTACGACGCAATACTCTCATCAACTTTAGTCACATCAGGTGACTGGAAACATGTATTCCCGCAAGGCACGAGCCGATGCGACCGGGTCACTATTCAACTATGAGAAAGGGGAAAAAACTATTTGACTATTTGCACGTAGGTCATTGTTTGCACCATTGCTAGGTTTCTTTTCAACTTTGCATAACTTTATTGTTGCCCCAAAAATTGACCAAAGGTTGACCGACTGAGTCACTCGATGTCACTGATTGCTTGCTTCATTGGTCGGTCCGCGGGATGGTGGGTTTGGCTGTTGAGTGGTCGCAAGCGAGGGATTGACTAAGTCAGACTGAATCAGTAGATTTGGTTGGGGCCGAATGGATCAACTATGATCAACTCGATGTCGGACAATGACATGAAGTCCTAATGTCGGATGTTGAAAAAATCGGTTGCACGTTGGCCGGAGTTTTGCCCAAAAGGATCAAACCATGCTGAAGCATGTCCTTGGAGTCTTGGGGCCACATGGGGCCTTATGTGGCCACCTTGTTTGCCCTTTGCAAAAACAATCGCTTATTTCTTGACTTAGATAGGAACATAAAGGAACATGCCAAATCAGTCATGATTTTGAGAGATTTTTTTTGGGAAGAAACTGGCCCACGGTCATCTATTCACTTTCCAAATGAACCCAGTTCACCCACTTTCCAAACTGCTCACATTTGCCACTGTCATTTCACAGAGATGTCGCTCCAGAGGGTCAAGTGACCACAAAAGAACCAAGCAAAGCAACATGGATCATTTGTTAGCTATTGCACCACAACCAATGCATTGGCTTACAAGAAAAACTTCAGGAAACCAGGAAGCCACGTTCGTACGCATGTAGTAAATGCAAGAGCTAGGGTATCGCAGAAGTATCCCTTTTCAAGTGCCATGGTCAAAGTCAATCGTCAAGTGCGGATTTGCATCTAACTTCCACAAGTGATCTTTCTATTTGCAGCTCATTAATTCCTGTTATAGTGGCTGAACAAGCATATGCCATCATTCTGTAATTGTTTCGAGGTGTGGTGTGGCCAACAATCATCTGGAAACAAATCCACTTTGACCCATGGCATGGACCTCAGAAAAACGGTGTGGTTCTTTCTGTGCTGCACCTGCTGCGCAGGTTTGGTCATCCCACCTGTTGCGATTCGGAGGCACCTGAGACCCGGTTTAGCAAGCAACTTGTGAATTTGATCCCCAATTCAAAGTCTCATGATGCTTTGGATGTATTGAGTGTGTCCAACTAATTCAAGTTGTTTTCAAGAAGGAAATCCTGCGGATGGCGTCTTTTTAATGGGGAAACCCCACGCTGCAACTCCAATCGAGGCAAAATTTAAAAAATCTCGCAGCTATGACCTATATATACAGCTATCTCTCTCCCTCTCTATATTGATATATATATTACGGAAAAAACATTTAAATATACGGACTTTTAAATATACGAACGCGTATTTTAGACTATTTCCGGGAAGGGTTTCCTTGGCCCACCCGGCAATTTAAACATACGGAATCCAAGTCATTTAAACATATGGTGACTACATTAAATATACGAACTGGTATTTCATACTACCTTCGGGGCCTCGCGGTCTGGCCCGCCCTCCACATATTTAAATATTGTTACCGTATATGTACATATATATATATACACAAAAAACATGTGCATATATATAAACATAAATATATATATATAAATAAATAAATATATATATAAATAAATAAATATATATATATATATTTAAATACATATATATATATACTTAAAAAAGTAAAACAAAAACATGTGCATATATATATATATAATATACAGATAAAAAGTAAAACAAAAACATATGCATATATATATTATAAACATAAGTAGAACACAAAACATGTGTATATATTATATATATATATTTATTCATTTATGTGCATGTATATGTATTATACGCTAGGGGGAGTAGGTTGGCCGAGAGGAGGCAGATCATCATGGGTGAAATCGATTCAAAACAACATGTTACTGTGGGAAAATTATGACTTTTCATGATTGATTAGGTTGAATTTTTGGATAAATAAACTGATATTTACGGACCATGTTTTGATCCGATAAAGTTGAAGTAGATAACATACGATCATGGCATTTCATCTTTATTGTGTTTTTCCTTTCTTTCCCCATTGGAAGTACGAGATACACATCTTCTGTGTTCGGAAATAGCAGGAATGCTGGATGAAATATGGGTTTTCCGCAGGTGTTTTGATTTCATTTCAATTTTGAATGGAAAAATGCCAAGTTGTCAGCACACGTTCTTTTCAGTGACCAAGTCAGGTGAGTCAACGTTTTTCCAACCGGGCCGCACGGAGCCTCTGAAAAAGAATGGCTCTGCTTTCAAGACACTTTACCCCCGCCGGGTTGCTTGTTTAAAGAATGAACAGCAAGAACATGTCCATGTTCTATTTGACCAACTATGATCAACTCGATGTCGGACAATGACATGAAGTCCTAATGTCGGATGTTGAAAAAATCGGTTGCACGTTGGCCGGAGTTTTGCCAAAAGGATCAAACCATGCTGAAGCATGTCCTTGGAGTCTTGGGGCCACATGGGGCCTTCTGTGGCCACCTTGTTTGCCCTTTGCAAAAACAATCGCTTATTTCTTGACTTAGATAGGAACATAAAGGAACATGCCAAATCAGTCATGATTTTGAGAGATTTTTTTTGGGAAGAAACTGGCCCACCGTCATCTATTCACTTTCCAAATGAACCCAGTTCACCCACTTTCCAAACTGCTCACATTTGCCACTGTCATTTCACAGAGATGTCGCTCCAGAGGGTCAAGTGACCCAATCTCTCTTCCAAAATCCCAATACTTCTACGAATGAGAAACAAAAGAACCAAGCAAAGCAACATGGATCATTTGTTAGCTATTGCACCACAACCAATGCATTGGCTTACAAGAAAAACTTCAGGAAACCAGGAAGCCACGTTCGTACGCATGTAGTAAATGCAAGAGCTAGGGTATCGCAGAAGTATCCCTTTTCAAGTGCCATGGTCAAAGTCAATCGTCAAGTGCGGATTTGCATCTAACTTCCACAAGTGATCTTTCTATTTGCAGCTCATTAATTCCTGTTAGTGGCTCAAAAAGCATATGCCATCATTCTGTAATTGTTTCGAGGTGTGGTGTGGCCAACAACCATCTGGAAACAAATCCACTTTGACCCATGGCATGGGACCTCAGAAAAACGGTGTGGTTCTTTCTGTGCTGCACCTGCTGCGCAGGTTTGGTCATCCCACTTGTTACGATTCGGAGGCACCTGAGACCCGGTTTAGCAAGCAACTTGTGAATTTGATCCCCAATTCAAAGTCTCATGATGCTTTGGATGTATTGAGTGTGTCCAACTAATTCAAGTTGTTTTCAAGAAGGAAATCCTGCGGATGGCGTCTTTTTAATGGGGAAACCCCACGCTGCAACTCCAATCGAGGCTAAATAAAAAAAATCTCGAAACTATGACCTATATATACAGCTATCTCTCTCCCTCTCTATATTGTATAAATATATTTACTATTATATATATATATTACGGAAATAACATTTAAATATACGGACTTTTAAATATACGAACAGGTATTTTAGACTACTTCCGGGAAGGGTTTCCTTGGCCCACCCGGCAATTTAAACATACGGAATCCAAGTCATTTAAACATACGGTGACTACATTAAATATACGAACTGGTATTTCATACTACCTTCGGGGCCTCGCGGTCTGGCCCGCCCTCCACATATTTAAATATTGTTACCGTATATGTACATATATATATATATATATACACAGAAACATGTGCATATATATATATAATATATATATATAATATATAATATATATAATATATAATATATAATATATATATATATAATATATATAATATAATATATATATATATAATATATATATAATATAATATATATACTTTAAAAAAGTAAACAAAAAACATGTGCATGTATAATATACACACAAAGTAAAACGAAAACATGTGCATATATATATATATACAAACTTATTTACAAACATAAGTAGAACCAAAAACATGTGTATATATAATATATATATATGTACATATGTATATATATATATACATATATATATATATATTATACGCTAGGGGGAGTAGGTTGGCCGAGAGGAGGCAGATCATCATGGGTGAAATCGATTCAAAACAACATGTTACTGTGGGAAAATTATGACTTTTCATGATTGATTAGGTTGAATTTTTGGATAAATAAACTGATATTTACGGACCATGTTTTGATCCGATAAAGTTGAAGTAGATAACATACGATCATGGCATTTCATCTTTATTGTGTTTTTCCTTTCTTTCCCCATTGGAAGTACGAGATACACATCTTCTGTGTTCGGAAATAGCAGGAATGCTGGATGAAATATGGGTTTTCCGCAGGTGTTTTGATTTCATTTCAATTTTGAATGGAAAAAATTGCCAAGTTGTCAGCACACGTTCTTTTCAGTGACCAAGTCAGGTGAGTCAACGTTTTTCCAACCGGGCCGCGCGGAGCCTCTGAAAAAGACCAAAGCTGGGCTGGGGCTGCGGCAACCTGTCATTGCCAGGGCGGTGCAGGTTAAATTCATCTGGAAGTTCCCCTGGTCCCAATAGCTCTGCTTTCAAGACACTTTACCCCCGCCGGGTTGCTTGTTTAAAGAATGAACAGCAAGAACATGTCCGTGTTCTATTTGACCATTCACAACCTTATCCAAGCCCTGGCGTTTCAATTGTGACTTTGTCACGCTCGCCAAAGCTTCCGCAAGTTACATTGACGTTATTACCACAACCCAGCCCGCCCCCGCTCGGCTGTATGTATATATATATATATAATATAATGTATCTATGTATATATGGTCCCGTCCTCCGTCTCTCCACCCCCCCATGGGTTGGGTC